CCTCAGGAACCTGGCGCCACTTGTACCGTTTTGGACCGAATTCGACAAAAATTGATTTCCTGGCTTTATTAGGCATCAAAACGCATCAAACCCTAATAGAAATTTGTTTCTAAATGCCTCAGGAACCATACTACGTCGACAAAGTGCCGAAATATTCATTTTTTTATTTTCCTTATATGCGTGTTCGGACCCTCACTTTTTAGGATCGCTCGCCTTCGGCTCGCTCGCTCAATTAGATCAGTACGATATGATTCTAATATTTCGATGCTATTTTAGAATTACAGTACTGTGGCTCTTTTCCATATAATTTTCAACTCTTATTAAATCTAGGGATGACATTAGGGATGTATAAATAAGAAATCAATAGTACTTCGTTATGTTTTATTTTATTTGAATTAAAGATAATTTTATAATGTGAAAATATGTATGCATGTATGTACTTACATACCGTCCACACCTTTTGATATCATTTAAACGTTTAAGGTCTAAGAAGGCTGTGCGCTACTCAGTCGTATAACAACTGAAACGAAGGATCTTTAACAGTGGTAAATGGTTACTTCTGTTTTTGCAGTTGCTATATGTCAAAGTAACAATTGCAACTTTAATGTTCGATGATTATAATAAAATAGTTGTACGTAGCAGTTATTTCTTACAATATTTTATTTATAATAAATGCAGTAAGCTGACTAGTAAATATTACAAATCACAGGTAGGAGGGGGGTGTTGCGTATGCAACACAGAGGTATATATTAACAATTTTTTTTATGTACATTTGCTAGTTTCACGATCTTGTATAATTTTACTATTGCTTCCAATTCAGTGTTTTTCATAATTGAGAAACTTACTGCATAAAGATTAAAAATAAGTTTAACGTTCCCTACGCGAGGGAAAGAAAATATTAAATCGGATATATCTTAAGCGCAAATTAATATCTATATGTTGCCTGCACTTTCTTTATCGTGTAGCATGTCACAATGTACCGAATAGCTCACGTTACAAATTACACAAATACAGAAACTATTTTGTTTACAACATTATTAACATTGAAGTTTAATAACAACATCGTTAGTTTCATGTTTGCAATATATTAGAAAACCTAGCAAGATTTGATGCCTCTCTTGCATCCATATTAATTTAACAAAGAACTCGGAAATACAATATTTTTTAAATGTTTAAGAAATACTTGAACAACTGTGAACATTGAAGAATTATAATCTGGTATTCGTATCGTCAAAATAACGGTCGCTAATAATAATGTTAAACAATATGGAAATTTTTGTGCAAATTTTTACATTGTCTACATTTTTGTATACACAACATTGAAATAAAAATTGCTCAGAATATAAATAATACATTACAGTAGTAAAAAAAGATATGTTTACAAAATAATGGCAGTATGTACCACTTTGTCTGTGATAATCTTAATTTAAGCGTCAAGCATCTTGTACATTTATACTGGATTCAACTAACGAACACAGAAACGGATTGGCTAATAACATCTTTACAAGAAACAAAATCTGTGTTTTACAATGTAAGGTACAAACATACAGTCGAGCAATGAAACGTAACATTGTGAAGTACATATAAAAATAATATTCTATGAATTAAAATAATATTTTCTATTCACATAAATATATTAACTTCTTGAATTATGGAAAATATTTACATGAAATAATACTTCACGAACAATTAAAAAACGAAGCATAAAAACATAAAATTGTGAAATAAAACAAAAAAAAGAGTAACTACAGCAAATACATGGTAATTGTCAATATACAAAGTATAAATATAATCGTCGAAAAGAGAATTTATAAAATAGTGTGAACATGATCTATACATAATTAGTACCATATTTTTTAAGGCTACTTGTTTTACAACTGTCTATGCAAATACGTTTCATTCTGAAACAGAAATTGGCAATGTTCGTTGAATGAATTAAAGCGCTGCAAGTACAGTCACATAAATAGTAATATCGAATGTACTAGGCTTCTGTTTGCGATACTCTTAACTCTAGAAAGATAGGGCGTTCTTTCAATAATATCTTTACCAAGCCAAAATTACTTTCTCGAGACTAAATTTGAACACATAAATTAGCATAAATATTTTTTTTTATGTAGATACAGAAATGACAAATTTTAAATATTTTCTAAGCGAAGGGTTCCGCGAGAGCTCCTCAGCCTTTCTAGTGTTAATAATGGTTAATAGAGTGACTGTTCACTAAATGAGCATTCGTTAAATCATCGCTCGCCAAGTTCATTAAGTCCCGGCTCGCTAATTGAACGCTAGCGCTGATGATGTTCGATAAACGAGCGTTTCAAAGAGAAATCTAGTTTAGCGTATGATTGCGCTCATTTCGTGAACGATTATTGTATTATGGTTGTCTTCGTTTCATGTGAGATCAACTCACTGCGATAATATATAATATACCGAATAATGACGGGTTAAAATGCTATACTGAACTTATGTCTGTGTCGGCATACGCGTTTATATCACAGCAAATGAGTTGAATTCATGTGTACTACTAATTCCAATTCTTTTAAACGACGCAAATGGAAAAATACAATATTTCTGTTCCATGGTGTGCAATTGGTAGAAAGCTTGTAAAATGCGAATGAATATACTCTTTGGAAGAATAAGCTGCAAAACCTTGTATTAAATACTGACGGCATTATATGGATGGATAAGATCTATACAAGTTTCATCTAATGGATTGGTACCTGCCACCCATTTCCCTTTTTTTTTCTATCAATAATCACGTCATGAAACCCGTGATGTATACTCTTAAACTCAACGTACTCAACTTAACGTTATTTACCAAGTCACAATTGAAATTATTGTGCGAGCAGGTGTGTCGTTATTGCTACTGCAAAGTACATGTTGCATCTTATAATGAATCTAGCTTGAATTCAGTAATCATTTCCATCTCTTATTGCACTTCGAAAAATCGTATTCGTAAAAGTTCCTAATCTGATTTTAATACTAATGTAATTCGCAAAAATTCAATTCGTTGCATCTGTGCAAATTTTTAACTCCTATATTTTAATTCTATCTACTATATTCTGCATGGACGAATTCAAACCCTCAGACGTAGCGTAGTCGAATAAAATTACGATGTATAACAGAACGACTGGTAAAAGAAAGTGCTAATCCTCTGCCCTTTAACTTGACTAGATGAAAAGGCATTCTGACGCAATTGGATTAACGATGTTTAAACAAGTGAAAATATAACTTAAGTAGGAACATCTTCAGTAAAATTGTAAAAAGAATGATAATTACATGCTAAAGTACTTCTTAAATTTATGGTAACAAAATTGCTCCTTTCGCTTAAGAAAAAAAAAATGAATCAGTTGTTTTATCTAAACGACTGATATGTAATGAAAAAATATGATAAATTGAGTTGTATTACTTGTTTAAAGTTGTAGAACATTCTTTTTAAAATCTGTAAACTCGACAAATTTCCATTTTAAGAAGTAAATATTAATCGCCTGTTACGTAGGCCGATAATGCATCTCTATTAAAATCTACTAATTGATTTATTTTATTGTTTAAGGTTTCTGATTTACTCTAAGACGATTCAATTTTAATTGGCCGCTTGTTTTACACGATAAAACTCGCGAAAAATTAAATCCACAAGTTACTTTTTATTTTCAATATTTTCTATCTAGCTTCGATGGATCTTTGATACTGAAGACTAGTTTTAAAGATAAAATTGTAATGTAAGAATATGGACTTGATTGTATAGACCAGTGGTGGGCAGATTAACAGCCCACTGGAAAGCTTATGGCCACCGACGATGTGTGCGAAGAAACCGATACCGAATCCATCTCTCGTTATACCTTCAAAATTTATATTGCTAGTTGAACGAGTTTCGTAGAGATCCATGGAGATTTCACATTTTCAAATGATCAAATTCACAAACTTAGAAGTTTGGTAATTTGAGAATCTGAAAATTTGCAAGTTTTGAAATTTGGAACTATAAAAATTTAGAAATTTCAACTTCTGAGAGTTTGGAAGTTCAGAAATTTTGAAATGGACCTCTTAGCAATATAACGAGTCTATTGCACTGTTCGGTACCGCCGAGTGCGTACCATTTACATGCTCGTGCAGCTCGTCTTCGCTGTCCTTGCCCACCATCACTGGTACAGACTAATAAAACTTCTTTAAGAAGATTCAAAATATTATTCGTCAGAAGTTTCGTACAACGAATTTTCTTTCTTTCTTTCTTTCTTTCTACCGTCATAAATAAGCGAATAGTAAAGCGCTTTTAAAGCGTACCCAAAATATTAATTTTGTGATCGTTTTCCGTGCTAGTGTTTACGTGGGAAACGTTAAGATTATATATATATGTGTGTGGATGATTGTCCACTTGTACTTGGGAAGTCCTAGAGCAGGCCGTACTTAGTGCTTTAACGAACAAATGTGGCTATAACAAATATTCACATCATTAGATGCACGGAGCTTTTGTAGGCCTGGTAATAGATTGATTACATTTGCATTGTTCGCTTGTGGCGGCATTCGTGTATACGCGTGATGTAATGTGTGGTAAAGAACCCAATAAATTAGAACCAGGTAGGCTACCTGCAAAACCGCTTCTTCCCAGAAAACTATGAGCACACTTGTATAGTCTTGTTTGTAGAATTAGTATGTCGTCAAGATCTTCTTCACTGTTTGGTAATTAGATTGTACATTAAAAAATGATTTATGCAGGAAAGATCGAATGAATTGACGCAACTAGACAAAAATCCTAGTCACGCCAATAGTCATATGTAGTTACAGACTTACTTTGCTGCAACTAAAAATTTTTGGAAAAGCCGGTTGGGTACAGTACGAGGACGATCAACTGTGTCTGCATAGAGGTCTGTTTCTCGATTGTATAGGTGTAAGAAGTCTGAGAGTTGTTTAGCAGTAATGGCAGCTCGGTCTTTGTCGCTCAATTTACTGCTTGGTAACTACACACACAAGCAATTAAACGGAAACAAATATAAAACATAAAGAGTCGGTAGTATTAACTTACCGTAAAGAAGAATGGCGTTCTTAAATTACTAGCTGACTGTTGAAGAAATTTCATTACAAGATCGCAGCATGCTGGATCAGCGTTGGGTTGTGATATCTTACGTAATATGTGTCCTAAATATAAACCAAAGGCCTTTCTAGCTTCTCCGGGACTGAAAAATTGAATAAATTATGTCGTAAGTTGAATCATCTTGATATTTAGATATCGTCAAATAGATTTAATGATATTGAAACTGACCTAAGTTTGTTTCCTTCGTGCATGGATTGTACAACTTGACTCTTGTATTTATGTTTATCCGTATCCATATTCTTCTTACTGTCACCACGGTCTAAACTTTGTTTGTGGCCCTTTACCAAAGCTCTCTCATACCTTTCATATCTACAACGTATTATACGAATTGAATTCTACATTTGGAAAAAATTGTTGAATCTAATGTCTAGTATCTTTACAAGACTACCTAGACAACCTATCCAAGGTAACTTCAGGAATGATGAAACCAGTGGTACGACTAGCTGCAGGGAATAGTTGTTCGTGTAACATTAAATTATGATTTGTATTAATGTGTTGCGGAACTCTGCCTGGTCCTAACGGATCTGAGACCACAGGTATTCCCGTTGTTGGATCTGTGAAGGATATTCGATGTAAAATATATTATAAAGATTTAACGTAGCGCGTAGTAAATTTATATATCACTGCATATTATACCCAAATACTGCGAATACATTTCCCACGATTTCGGACTAGGAAATATACGAACGAATCCTCCTCGTCGCTCGAATTGTGCCTTTGCAGATGCTACTATTCGTTGTTGTTCAGGCGTTAATCCTGTTTTATTGATACTACTTCTGCTGGCATTCTTCTTTCTCTGAGCCAACGTTTCGGCTGAGTGTACTCTTCTACACTAAATACAACAATTAAATTATTTGTCTCAAAACTAATGATAATGGATTTACGAACACCTTACATTAGCTATTCCTTTAGTGGAAGTAACGGTAGGGCGATTAAGATGGGTACTTTGAGGCCGTAACATCGGATCAACAGCAGGTATTCCAACGAGGGTAAGTAAATCAGCTATTAGCGCCGATTTTAATCTAACATCCAGCGGTGAATCACATCCTAACGATGGGGTTAAATTAACTTCCAATAACCACGGTTTTAACGTGTCGTCGATCAGAATGTCAAATCCAAACAATTCTAAAATACACATGTTTTATAGTAATCTCTTCCACGATTAACATTATGAATTTGATGAGAAGTTGATGTAAAAGTACCGAAGCACGTTTCGGGATGTTTCACGAATTGTTTTATACCGCTAACAATTCCAGAAGCTGTCGCAAGAATGGATTTTATTATGATATCTTCTATACGTTGCATGAGCAGCTCCGTGTCTCGTCCCATGGAACGCAGGTGTCTGAGCAACGCCGACAATGTCCATTTATGACCTACATCCTCTGCGTCTGGATCTTCGCTCCTGAAATGTAATTAACAAAAGATATATAGTTAATCGGAGAACAAGGAATAAAGTTCACGTGTTTGGAACTTCATTTCCATTTGACAGTACTTGCACTTATGAAGATGGCAAAACACAGTTTCTTACTTTACATAATCCACATGGAACTTGTTGATGCTGTAATTGCACAGATGCATGCAAGGATTCCAGATATATTGATTGCCACCGTCGTACTTCACCGTTGCGAATCTTACTAAACCCTCTTCATACAGATAAATCAATAACGGATCGTAATTTGTGACAGCAACGTACAATCGTAAATCGCATTTGTGTCCATCGACCAGAAGGGGATTGTTTATGTACTGTGCAACGATTACGGATTCCTCTGTAAGAATCTTTTCAGGCTGGAAGCATAGTATATAATATTTAAATAAGACAAACAGGAAATACGCTAAAATGCATCTTTAATCATACTATTTTTAACCTGACGTTCTTGACATTAACACAGACAACAGCACAGATGAGAACGAGTATCTGACACTTTTGAGAACAGAATATTTTTTACTTTAACATAGTCAGTTTTGTATCTAGGCTCTTCTGAGGTGCATCGAAGGGTTAAATTAGCTGTACTCTATACCGATAAATTATTATGCTCACACTGTTAACGATATAAATGCCGCGTCCGCGGGAGCTGGCTTTGGGTTTGACAATCCAGGGCCCGCGATACCTGAAATGAGCCGTCAGCAATTCCCTCGATTCACTGGGCAGCAAAAATGTTTGAGGTATAAAATCCAGGTTTCTCAACCCTTTACAGCGTTGCATAGCCGCGATGTTCTTATACAATCGATCCTTCCGCGTTATTTCGTACGACCTGTAACGGGACGAAATTCGATGAATCTTACGATGCAAATTAAACATTAAAGTTACATAAGATGTTTCTACGAATTAATAAATAAGAACAGTATATTATCACAGTAAATACGCGATATTACTTCATCCCTGGCGTTCTATTTATCCTTCAAAATAATCCAGAAACGCGATCCTCACGATTCCCTCGGTTTATTTTTTCACGCGATTCGAGCACGGTTTTATGTATGTACCTTGGAAAATGGTTCACTTTCTGGTGCGGCATCAAGTTTCGTAGAATGTCTGGCTTTGGATGATTCCCCATCCACAGAATGTTGAAGTCGGTCTCGTTCATGGAAACCTGTAACATTATAGAAATTTATGATCGCATTCCAGGAAACTTACTGTAACAACAAATAAATTTAGTATATTTATCTAAAGAGATGTTTGTTATAGCTTCTGTACACAATGTTACATTTGAAATTGTTTCGTTCTCAAGAAGTTAACACGTTCGACCACCTACGTTTCGTATCATCTATAATGAAGAAGTCTGATCGATGATCAGACTACTTATCCATTAAAGATATGAAAAGATACAGCGGTAAAATAATAGAAATGTTTTCGTCGGACAACACTGCGTCAGTAATCGCGTTAATATTCAAGCTGCATTTATCGCGCCGTCCATGTGTCGGCTTCATCGACCTTGCGGTCACTTTTCGTAGGAACAATAATGCCCATCCACCCGGTCCGACTACTAATTATCGAAGTGGCGCGATAAAAGTAGAAGGGTGCGACCACGATAACACCGAAGTCCTCGGTGTTTTTCTGTCAGGATATCTCCATTTTGTCATTTTCTAGGTGTGCCACTATTCCACTGGAAGCAATAGCAATTACCTTAAATGAAGATATTAATAACGCTACGCAAGACCGTAATAAAAATTGTATTCGATTAATTTTTCGACTGATCCTCGAATGGCGAGTCCTTGCCGCGTACGAACAGTGCAAATGCAAAGCAGAGTTTAATCTGAGCGGGAGTTAAACTTTATGTCACTTTGTTCTCGAAAGTGTTAATAGTCGAAAGAGGGGGAGGGTTCAACGGCACGGGACGTTTAACTCAAGTTCGACGGAGTATTTTCGGTGTAACGTTTTCTTCGACGAGAAGAGAAGGGGAACCATTAAATATCAGAAGAAAAGGGTTTAACCCACGAGCATTTCGCATGCAGAGTGTTTGATCGTTTCAACGATCTTGTTCCGCCGATTCGTGACGCAAAAGCAAATCCATTATATCTTTATGAAACGTTGCGAGCCCGATAAATGAAAAGTCAATGTGTCGTGATCAAAGTCACGTACTCTATGGGGAAATTACCCGCTGTTCCTTCTTCGAATTCTATTTCCAATCGCTCTTGTTCTTTGTTTTAGGAACTTTATAATAGACAATCGTGAACGAGCCTTTGTAATCTTCTTATTTCTACCCAACGGTGTTTCGCAAACTTTTCGTACAATTGATGTTGTACATAATATCAATTACAAACTATATTAATTTATTCTTATAATCTACGATTTTGATAGATGGAAATAGAAATCGCGTGGAGTATTATTAAAGTTGAGTATCGTCCGCTGAATAAGCAGCTCGGAAAACAGTATCGAATTACGATAAGGTTGATCTTCATTAGTGTCAATTGATATGATCTACATTCACGGTACATCACATGAACGATTGTGCTCCTTATCGAGCTAGGTCATTGCGCGAGGTTTCGCTGCGCTTCGACATATGAAAATCATTCGTGCAGAGTCTGCCGAAAAAATTGAAAGGAACTTATTAACCGATATTACAAGTTTCAATGGTAACCTAGAAGACTAAAATGGAGATTCGATTCATTTGCATAAATTATTGCTGTAGAAAGTCTAGGCGCTGCTCCAATTCGGACAGATTACCGTATTGTCACCTGCTTGCTCAATTTCCTCGTTAACGAAAGGTCGTTCATAGTCAAGGTCCACAAATTGTTACAAATCGATGTGGACATAGTCGTAAAATTGTGGCTAACTCTTTCCAAGGAGAATTTTACTTATAGCCATCGTTGCTATAAACTTGTTTCATATTTAAAGTACTTATGGTATCTTATTACGCGATTGTGAAGCGCGGAAACGGAAGGATAATCTTCTTAGTCATAACGCGAATCTTCGCTCAAATTTCGCATAACACGATACTTGAAGAACCCATTTCTGTAACTTCGTTGTTCAGCGGTGAAGTAAATGTCGTTTGTCACGAATGGACGTTCTCAAGGTCCCTGTTCGATTCGAAGGTCCCTTTTTAACCATACCGAGCCCAGTCACCATTGGTCTCAATAACGCACGATCGGTGTCGAGGATCGATCGGAAGGAACTGTCGCGTCGAAGTAATGCGGAAATTAAGGAGGAAATCAAAGGTGGCCAGGGACACGGTACACAATTGCGTACAGGTTTTCTACGAGTCATCGGGAGGCCGGTGTTTCAGGACCGGTTAGCTTTTCAGTCACGGACCTTCCGAGACGGCGTGTGACCCTCAAACCTTATCCCACCAGATCCGTTCTTGTCCTCACCTGTTGTCCGCCATAATCTCTTCTACCTATGAATATACTCGCTCGAAAAGTTACGAGTATTTTATCGCTGCGAGTTTATATTATACGTTTCTTCGCCTCGGTTTCTTCGTATCTTTTCTCGACGATTGTTGTTTTCGACCTCGAGACGGTTTCTCCCTTTTAGTCTTTTGCATCGGCTGCAGATAACTTTAGAAATTGTAGGAACTGATGGTATCTGGCAGTGGATATTCGGAGACGCCTCATAGGAAAATCATAAAGCTCAAGTTTATTTAGTTAACGCGATAGTTATGATTTATTAAACTGGACAATTTGGCCATTAGGTAACACGTCACCATAAGTCATCAATGTTACTGTACGGTTTTTACATGGTTCTACGGATTTCCCAAACAAATGGATTTTTTCACCAATATTTTTCCTGAATACACGTGCCAGATAACGTCACAATGAGAACGTGATAACGTTGGAAACGCAGGCTTCTCCTACTCCTCTGCTCACGAGACATTTCCGCATGGAGGAGTAGCAATTTTTTCCGGGCCAATTATGTCCCGCCTCGTTCACCATTAAAACGGATGCATTTTTCTCGCTGTTACGACATTTGTCAGCGGGAGATCCCGTGGTAAACGGTGAGTTATACCCGATCGAGATTCTCTCGATGACAGAGCGTGCAAGATCGCGGACAAAAAAGAAATAAACACTGCAAGAAACGAAGAATGTTGCCCCCTGATCGCCACTCTCGCTTTGAATCGTCTCTCGAACACTCGTCATTCAACATTATATGACACACCATGTGCGTCATAGTAGCGCACAACGTATACATCCTATTTACTCTAAGATCTATCTGATGCAATTGCTGATACGCTTTGTGCAAGCTGTATGATATAATAGACGCAACAGTACACATATCTATGTGACGCATCACGTGCGTCCTGCATATTCACCCGTTATAATCAAGGACCATCTCAATTAACAAATTGATGTTGCAAGCAAAAATAAGATTTTAGAAAAATAAATTAACGAGATAGAAAAAGCAAAAAGAGACGCTGAATAGCCAAGATGTTTTAATAGCTAGAGAAAAAATGTCAGCTCTCATGGATGGTCGTATAATAAGAGCCAAGCTCGGAATGGGTTGAAGTGCCGCGACGAGCGTCAAGCATTTAAGGAGACGTTAATTAGAACGAAGCGACGAGAAGAGTTGTACGAACGTCGTCATCTTTCATTCTGCCTCTTTTTCCTCTCTGTTTAAGGTGCATGCGGTTTGCTTTCACCTCGTATCGATCGACCACGATCCCTCGTAATTGCGCGAGAACCATGAACGCGACACCGTAAACTACTCCGGTTTTACAGCTCACAATCGACTTTGCTCGGAACGCGACGAGCACGGCAAAAAAAGAACGTACGAGAGAAACGAACTGAACGAAATCACGTTCGCAACGAGATGACCGATTTGGAGGGAGGAAAAGGTGGTATGTCAACATTTCCATACTTAGATATCGGAATAATTGAAATTATTTGCTGATAATTTTCGAAATGAAGAACACGTGATACCAGTGATGACGATATTTAAAAGGAGTAAATTGGTGCTCGATAACCGTTACAGCTGATTGAAACCGCGGTCAATGATGAATTAATGGTCACGGCGATGACGGAGGTGACAATCAGAGGATTCTATTAAGCCGATTAAAGGAAGCTATTGAAACCAAAGATGCGAAAGACGTGCGCGGGAAGAAATAGTGTTACTCGTGCTCGCACTCGTCGCATTTACGTGAGCCACATATTGCGTTATCGATCAAGGATAACAAGCTGCTTGCTCGTCAGTCCTAACGTATGAAGACGAGACACTGAAATTGTCTCTTCCTCTGTTTGTCCTTATCATTTGGAAGAATCTTCTGTAAATAGACGAACGTGGAAGCAGAGACAAAGGTGTCCGCACAAATTTAATTACATGTGGATGATTTTCTTAATATTTATTAGGAGATAACTGCGATATGCCCTTATCTAAAAAACAAAGATGCCAAGAAAATTAAAATGTTCTTTTCAAAATATATACATAAAAAATTCGTAAGTCTACAGGTGAAAATACTGAAATTTGAAAAAAAAAGTTAACGTGAAGTCAAATAAAAAATCACGTCCCTCTCATTATTGCGCACGCGCGCATGAGTTGACGGATATCCTATACTTCACTGCCTGTACCTTTTTATTACGTCTCCATATCCAATTAATGACAGTAAAAGACAATGATTACAAGCTCATCTCCAATTGTCGTGAAATTGTACCAAATTCCAAGCAAAAAATGCGAACGGAGTTCAAAAGCCGCTTCGTCCCTTTGATGTGTAAACAGACGAAAATAGAATGGAGGCTCGCGAAGAGACCTCGCTACCAAATCCCGAAATAGTTGAATAATTTCTGAGCTTTTGAGCCCTGATATATCGCGACGCCCTACAACCTCGATGCGACAAAAATATTTCAATGACACCTGAGCATCTGAAACCAAAATCGTTTTCAGTTATTAACTATTGCATTCTTGACAACTCTCGATCGATTTGCGTCAGAACATTGACACCGCTTCGACTTTGAGTCAACCAACAAGTTAAGTCAAGACGAAGCTTTCAAGCTAATATAACCTTACAATGTTAAAAAGCTTTCTAAATATAATGCAGCGAGATATCATTGAACCGTGAAACCTTGAATTTTAATTCCAGATATCCAATCTTTTAAGTATTTATAAAACATCAGTTAGCCTTTCGAGCCTACGATTATGTAGCAGATACTCGATGACTTTGAGACGTCAAAAATGGTAACTCTATAACTTCTCGAGGGTCGCCGAATTGTCTAACAGCCATATAAGGTTAGAAGCACAGCTGTAAATAACACGTATCAGCATAAATTTGCACCTTCATGAATATTAAAGTCGCTTCTGCCGCGGAACAAAGTAGCATCGCCGTTAACTCTGTTTCCCTGTCAACGCGAGACACGTTTCCAGACACGAGCCTCTAAATATCGATAAACGAATCGATCTATATCGAACGATCTGCGCAGCGCAGCTTATTGACAGCGTGACGTCACATGCAACGCTACGAGAGGAGCATCACGCCGAACACGCCCGAAGATGATGACCCGTGCTACGGAGGCGAACGACTGGTAATTAACGCACTTTCCAATCGTCGAGTGTAAACGAAAACGAACCTACAGCCGCGTTAACACGTTCGCTGTCTGGGCTGATAAGAAAAGCGCATCGCTTATGAAGTACGAATTCAGACTAAGCTTTACTCGATTTTTACTTAAAAATAATAATTCTGCAAATTATGGCGCGCTTTTCGCCGAAACGAGCTCAAGTTTCTTACCGTTACTTTAGCCTAATTAGACTATGTTAAACTAAACGTTGATGGGTTCATTTATGAAGCACAACTCGTACATTACCGATAGTTTAGAATACTTGAAAATTTAGAAATGTATGAATTACGGAACTTCAGAAATCTTAAAAATTTTAAAAATTCGAATACGTGATATCGAATAAGTGACAGCGATCGTGTTAAAACATCGTGTGCAAAAAATGGAATTCAACTCGAGAAATCGGACGAAACGTTTATCCCCGGAAAAGTTTTCTACGATGACAACGAGACGAAGAGCATGTAACGATACCGCGAGATATCCTATAATCGCCGGCAGGCACGTCGGTAAATAAATAAAATAGCATATTTTAAGAGCTCTCAAACAAGGGAGATCCCAAACGTGCTTTGCCACCGTCTCGGAATGGATGGAGAAGCGTGGCGGCGCTCGTGTGGTGGTGGGTAAGCTGAAAGCCGAACGACGAGGTCGCGAGTCATGCCGAACAGAGACGAATATAGCCGAGACGAGACGGACGGAACCATGAGACGCATGCAGCTCCGTAGCGGCGACAGTCTAGCACGAGCCGCTGCTCAGGAGACACCCGTAGGGGACTTGCTTGTTTCAAGGTAGGCACCTGACGCCAGATTATTTCTTCTTCTTCCATAATCACCTGTCGTGAGTGATGGGCTAATGATCTCCAAGAATGTCGATTGAAATGATCAATATTTTAAAATCTTGATAACCTTAAAACTTAATTTTTCACAAAATATTGATTCAAGCGAGGAATAACAGTGTATACATGATAGAAAAGTTACTTGTTTTTATTTCAGAAACCTTAAAGCAGTCATTGGAACATCTTATTGTTTAAATAATGTATCGTTTTTAATAAATTTTTGTGTAATTTAGTGCGAGTGAATTATACGAAGATAATGTACATTTATTAAGTAAATAGTAATGATCAAAGATCTTTCGAAAGTTGTTTACTTTGAATAAATACATGGAAGTGATTGAATTGCTTGAAAATTTGCAGGAGAGAGTATCGAATGCCCATCACTAACCGCCGCTTCTTCCTAGTAACCAAGCCGAACCCGTTCACTGCATCGCCCTAACCTTCCGTAAGCACGATCTTCGGGAAAGGGGTTTTTTATTTTCACTGATAATTGGAACGAGCCTTCAAACTGACGTTTCGTGTTTATCGACGCATCTTCAGTCAATATAACAACTTGCGGATGACTAGTTCAACGTGTTATCTGATATTATTACTTTTTATTTTTTTCCCTCGAGCTTTTACTTTTTCCGGTTTTCAGCTCTATCGATACAGCAGAACTTCGTTTACATCTAAATACATGTGTAATTCATATAAAACTGGATCATGTTATTTGCGATATGAATTACGGATCATGTTAAGTTTGTGTCACCACTAACCCTCATGACAGAACATATAACACATTAGCTGTCAAAATGAATAATACAAAGCATCGAGTTACCAGATTCCTAACTTCATACACATATTATTTTTTTTGGATAAACAGAATTTCGTTTGTTACTACTACTTACAAGAGTTCATCAATACAATCATTTATTTTTTCAATATTGAGATCTTGTTTCAAAGGGTTAAACGTGACTTTGAGAAACGCGAGATCAGCCTCGAATTTAATTTAGCCAACGAACATGATACAAAGAAAAAAAGTTAATTACAGTCCCAGCAAGAAAAATAGTATTCGTTCGTCTCAAGGTAAACGTGCAAGGGTTCCTTTTTTAATAACACGATCAAGTTTAGAGACAGGTGAAACAAAAGTTCCTTCAACGATTTGCTATCTAGTAGTACTCGAACGAGTTGAAAGTTTTGTTTGGATCATTGAATTGTCGTTGACGCATCGACACGTGGGTAGCATACACTCGGTGTGTCTCGAATCAACTGTCCACGAGGAACACAAGGCTCGAAGTAATTGCATAAATAACCTTGTGTCCAGAGAATGAATCAAATATCGATGGCGTAGAATTCTTTGCGAATAAAATAGATTTTGATTCATGAAGTCTTCTAAACTATTTGGTCATCAAAAATTAATTCAAACTGAACTTTGTTGCTTAACTCAAATCTCTTAATCTTACTAAAACTGCCAAGTCTAATGTTGCTTAATTGTATACTTTTCATTCATAATTTTGTGTGATCAGAATTTTATTTGAGTTGCATTGTGCTTTGCATTTCCACTTAGATATAATTTGTGAGATCTTGATCTCCACTTTGGAGAAGCTGGATCTGCCCTTGTTAACGTATAAAATAAACTAACCCAAGTGAAGTGGTTGATTTTGGCGAAAATATCACAGGCGATTCGATCCGGCGATCATCTAATTATTTCGAGCGGCGTAGCACCATGGTCATCGAGTGTCAAGCGTTTTAATACCGTTACTAGAAAGTAGCGTCGATCACTTGCAAGTAGAATGAACGAAAAAACAAAAATGGTCCAGTGAAAGTGTCGCAACGGTGTATGTTGGATTCGGTGTGTTTGCCTTTATGTAACCGAACGTGTGAACGACTCATGGTGGTTAGATGCATTTGCATATATACCATCCCGATTTCAAAATTACACGTGCATGACTTTAACCCTCGTGACCTAGACCTACGAAGCCATGAGTTCGAGTAAAATTAAGACTAACACTTTGGACAATTTTAAATACAATGACGAAAGTCGCTGGGATGCATGAAGATCTACGTGAAGATGGCAATATAACGAGTCTTGTATACCATGTGAATCACGTCTCTAAATAAAGAAAAAAAGTGGAAGCTCGTAACAATTAAAACATTCATAGCTTCTTTTATCCGATCATGCATTAAATGCAATTTACAGAAGCTTCAATCTCCATACGATTATTTCTATTTCTAGCAAGCGATTATCGTCTCGATCAAATAATCTGATCGCACCGTTATAGGAATGTTCGCACCATTAATTTTAAGTGACGTTTACATTCTGTTGAATCAAAATTTCAGTGTTTTAGTTAGTAGTCAAAATGATCCTACATCACACAGTCTTTCAAGGGTTATGTTTCATAGAGATCATAAATGCTACTTAACAATAATTGCGGTAAGCGAATGTCATCGCCAATACATCGATAAAACATCCGATAAATTATGGATACAAACAATTTAGTCAATTGCGGTTCTTTTTACGCAACGACAAGTATTACGTACACCGCACAGCTTAGGTAATAAATTAACATTCCTTCTTTTATCGAAGCAGTAAAAGTCGCGTATTCGTGAAGGCTCGAAAGTAATAACGTCCTCTCCTTGTTCGCCAATTTGTTTGCGATAGACATGCAAAGCGTATAACGCGTACACCACGCTTCTGAACACATTTCCTAGTTTCTCTGATTGATCTATCGTAACACATACATAAGAATCACGATGAAAGAACAAACATATATTGTTTGTATAAATATGTGCTTATATTTTTTTTATTTTTCCTTGTTAATTAATTTTAAATACACTTGGTTACTATATTATACTAATAATAGAAGATTAACAGCTTCGATTTGAAAACCTTCGTTGCATCTATTACTGCTTTATTAAATCAATCTTGTATCAAAGATACATCTGATACATTATGGATACACGTACTTCGATACCTCTGTCATGTTTGTTTCTTTTTTCTTTTTTTTTTTTTCATTTCAATTTTATCGTTGTGTTAATGTCTGTTGCCATTCAAATGCGAAATTAGAAAACAATCATTCGCAAAAGAAGTTACGTGTTGGTTTGTTTTTACTAAAAAGTAATAAACATGTGAAAACAATTTTTTACGCTCTTCATAATGTTTCGATTCGTAAGAAAATAAGCAGATTTTACGATGAATTTTTTTTCGAAATAAAAATTGTAATTTCAAAAAGTGATAATAAAATGATCTGTGAAAAAAGTGTCGGCACGTACTGTCACGAAAGTTTATGAGCGCAGCAGCGTGAGCTTTTCATTGCTAATAATTACACAGGAAAGTTGCTTACATACTATGTTTCCTTCAATTAACATTGCCCTGATAATACATTTCGTATTCATATTCAGACAAAACAAATTCTCGTACAAATAATTACTCCCTGTATTTCGTTCCAATCGTAGTTAACCTCAAAATTATATAGTAATATTTATTTAACGACTAATCGTGTGTATATAATCTTGCATGTACGTGACATCTAATACAGATCATTTTTTGCAATATGTACGTATTCTTCTACTATACTAGTTCATCATTCTCGATAATTACAATATAACAAAAATTAACATAATAGTAATATTTTTTTATTGATATAATTTCTTTCCACAATTTAATACTAACCATATTGGAAAATTATCATGTTACTGTTGTTATCATGTAATAACTAATGCATCAAATATTACAGTGAATGAACAAGAGAAGATGCCTGGCCACCGTCAGCCTAATTCCCTAGAGGGACTTAGCTTGGGACGTGTGTGTCAACAACTCGACGGGACGTGCCGACGGCTGCAGGTGCTTTCACAAGAGTCATCTGCTGCACAAGTATTGGCCTACGCGAAGCAAACTATCAGACCTTACTACATAAACGCGCTGCCAGCACGTTTGCGATCTCAGGTTATACAAGAAACTTCCAAACTATTATATGGCCCAGCTTCTGATGGATCAACTTTAATTTCTGGACCAGCTCCTTTGTATTTATTGGCCCTTCTTCTTGGGCATGACATAAAACAACTAAAAGTGAACCTCTGTTGCTACTATGGATGCAGTCATCAGACATCGTTATTGAAATTGCTTGCATCAGAGGGAATTGGACTCGAATCTTTAGAGCTGGCTCGTTCTGCTTTGTTAAGATTGGACTGCAAATTATTACGATCCGCACTACTGAATATGAAAAATTTATTGAGCTTGACTTTGAGAAATATAGCTAGCGATGCTGTGCTTCAAGTAGTAGGGAAAGCTTGTCCTAAACTTGTGCTTTTGGATGTAGCTTGTTCGAGACAAGTAACAGATGTTGGATTGAAGCAGTTATTGTTACAAGTAGAACTCAGAGACAAAGTGCCTCATGCTACGATGCAGGAACCTACTAGTTGGTCTCGTCTGAAAACGTTGCTTTCAAAATTGAAAATGAAGAATTCTAAATCAGAGAAAAAAGAAAAGCAAGGGGTACTGTTGGAATATTATGAGAGCAGAAATTTTCTCTGTGATACACTTAGAGTACTTAATGTTGCCAATACCGGGGTAACCAGTACAGGAGTACTTTTAGCTTTGGTACATGTTCCAAGACTGGAATCTTTAGCAGAATATAGTCATATGGGCAGAGTAGTAGAAATCATGAATAAAGGATTCACTGGATTTAAAACTCCATTTAGCTTAACTCAAGCAAGAAGTTGTAGAACAACACCAGTTCGTTTGGAACTGTTGGCACAAGCATGCCCAAAAGTGGAAAAATTACATATCTCAGAGCCTCATCATCCTCCCGAAGCTTTGCGGCTATTTCCTTATGTTACTTCTCTCAGTGTACACAGTATACCTCCTCAAAGGGAATGGTTAGATGGTTTCTATGAATACCTTCGTACTAATGGTCAGAATTTACGAGAACTTAATCTCAGAATAACTCAAAATGAAAATCTTATACAAGTAGACTTGAAAGAAATCTTTAGTAGCTGTTCTAATTTGAGAACATTTACTAATGATGGTTCTAATATAACTTGGAAAGAAGGAACTGATCCTCCACCATTAAAATATTTAAAGAAGATTCAATTGGGACGTATAGTGAGTGCTCTTGCTATCACAAAAATTCTTTCACTAGCACCAGAGTTAACAGCACTACATGTACATAGTTGTTTTGATCTCACGAATGAACACTTAGAAAAATTATTGAGTGCATCGACTAAACAAAAAAATTCACGAAAGTCTGATAAATGTGAGAATAGTTTAGTACAAAATCTAACATGTTTTTACATATACGAGGCCAGTAAAGTGTCTGCAACTACTGTGCTCAATATGTTCAAAAATTGTAAGAGACTGAAAAAAATTGGAAATTTGGCAAATTGGGGCTTAGATTGTGAAGGTGTACGTATGTTAAGATCGACGCTAACACGTGCAAATTTGGATGTAGATCTGTGTCCAGGGGCACACTGGTTCTGGAGTAACTGTATTCAGTAACGCTTGTGCAAACTTATTGTCTTAAAAAAGCAGCTGTTAAAAAAAATTCTGTCCATGACATAATTGGCTGCTGTATAATTTGGATTTGTTATACTTGAGTAGACTGTGAAATTGTCAGTATTAAAAATTATCTTAATAAATATAAGGCAATTTATATTTGGAAATACATAAAGAAATGTTTTATTACATGTTAAGTATAAATTTAAATACGACTAGCAACAGTAACCGATCATTTTATCATGTTGTAAAAGAAAGTGTTTATGTTTGTCTTAATAAATTCAGAATCAACATATTTGTATGAATATACAAATATCTGACAATTATATATTAAATATAACATAACAAAAGTATATCACTATGCCATGTTATAATAACTTACTTTACAATAATAGTGTTCTAACAAACAAATCAAAATATATAATATCAATACATTACTTCTTGTATTATAAACTAAAACTAAAAATTCCATTATAGAATGTAATGTCCATAAGTAAATTACACGATAAAAATATCAGCAAAAGAAAATCAATTGTATTTAACTGTAAGGTATATAGCTGGTTCAAATTGTATATAAGTACTTAAATGTTTGAAAGATATAATAAATGATCAGATTAATTGAAACTTGAAACACATTTGTACTAGATTATAATAAAAATCAGCATAGTACATGCTATATACTTATATCACTCTTTTGACTCAAATAAAAATTCTTTAAAAAAGAAGGAATGTTATTGTTTCATTTTAAAATACGAATTACAAAGCAACTCACCTCTGATAAACCATGTGACTGTAGTAAAAGACTGACAAGTTTGGTGTCTGTTTGAAAAATTTTATATGTCATGTGTAGCTTCTTTGCGGGTGCTTCTTCCGGAGGAGTTGCCAATGCGGAGCATCTGAATAAAAACAAACGATAGCAGAAATAAAAGGGTTCCTAAAGAAGTGTTACATGTTGCATTAAATAATATTTACTACTCACTTGAATCGCAAAATAGACGTTTTGTTTCCACTTGGTCCATTTAACAGCCATTCGTTGTGTTCCGAACTTTCGTCTTTCGTTGTGCTATAAAAATACATTTTATGAATCGTTGGTTATTCTTGTAATTTAACACTTTTGAACGTAAAGTACACAGTAATTGAAACATCCGTTACGACAGAAGCGACACTCGAAAAACTTTCCCGCAAAATTATTTCTTGTCTGTGCTGTAGCGCCATCAAGTTTATCGAGTGTCGGTAAAAAAGAAATCATATCGTTCGATAAATTTGAATTAAAACTTTAGTACCGATTACAGTCGAGTTCTACTATATGTCCCCGGATAGGGTTACAGATTGATAAGTATTGCGGGAAGTATTAAAATTAAAAATACAAGTTTTCAAATACGCATAAACTTTTATTTAAAAAGTACAAATCAACTTACCTTTCCAACGATTCCGATTTGTGCGGCTTGTGTACAAGGGGTTCCAAAGTCTCCTCGCTACTGTTTGACAATTGTGACATCCCGGGAAGACTAGAAGATGACATCAATTCTTTAGTTCGTTTTCCTTCTAATTTTTTAGTAGCCTTAATTTGGGACAGCATGATTTATCTGCAAATAAAAAGAAAAACCATTTGAAACATTTTGGTAAATCGTTTTATCAGTTTGCCTCCATTTCAATTGAAATTCTATCAACCGGTAACACCACGCTGTCAGTATCAGACGTAAATGTAATAGGAAACTTTCTCGACTGTAGCACGTAGATAATGCCAATCTCGTCAGCGACGCGTAAAAAAGATAGCACCTGCAGCTTAAACGAGAAAGTACCAAGCAAACATGTGTTCTCTCATTGTTTCGCGTCGTCATGCACATCGACAGAAACGTCGATAACTGTACGTCAACTGGTGAAAATCAGCCGGACAAACTTTTACCGTGGCGTCGCTGACATTCAATAACCGTGTTGAAAGGGAGAACCATGTATACGTATACCCATGAATAATTGATTCATTTTATTCTGGGGACTTCTTGAACTAAAAGCATCGACATAACTAGACAAGGAGCAAGATGAGTAGGGTGTAGGAAAATTTCCGAATCCAAAAATTTTCAAAAGCCTACATTGATACTATTAATAAGGGAGGAGGAATTGACTGTAAACGAAGGTTGTTATTTAATAAAGTATGAAATTTATTATAGCAGCGAGTTTACTCGTAGACATTACATCGATTTTTTCCTGTTACCCACGTTGTTAGAGGACTGTAATGTTAATAGGCAACGAATATAACCGAGACATAGCTACACCTTGACTCTTGCCAGACTTGCCAAGTTTATGTAGGTAATCGGATCAAGGTACACAAAGATTATTAAAAGACGAAAACGAGTCGAACGTTTTCATACTTATGACTGGTTGTCTTACTGCCACGGTCATGTGACCACGACATATTGTTTAGCTAATCGTAGTCCGAAACATTGTATTACGTTCGAATGGCATGTATCTATGTTAATGGAATATTCAAGCCTCGTATTGATTTGATTGATCTTTGAGTATAAAAGAACCAGCCATTGCTTTATAAATGTAACTGATCATTTATTTAACGAGCCACAACGTTTCTTCGAATAAATTGCCTCCTCGGATACTTGCCGCGAAGAATGGCGATACAAGATTCGTATATAGTTCGAGATCGCTTTATTACGGACTTGAACCTGACCTTGAACGATCTCGTAAGTCGATGAACTCCTTTGAAAACCGGTTGTAACCCTGAGGGGTGAAAAAGACCGAGGTCTTAAAATGCATTTTGCACCCGTTTATTGAGGATATGTGGCCTGTCGACATTAACATTTTCTGATGCTATAAATTCAATGCAGATAAGACTCGATTTGTAACGCCATTAATATGTATAGTAGGCAAGGTGTAGACATTCTTTCTCTAAATTTATAGCTACAAAATCTGGCTTCCGTAGGAACGGCTATTAAAACAGAGGAGTTCCGTTGGTTTATAGAGTTTGAAAAATTGGCGGTCTGGGAATATGAAAGTATGCCAATGCGAGAACATTGAAAAGTTCAGGAACATTGACATTTGGATATCTAGGGGTTTAACATTTAGAATTATTAAAATTGACTCTAATAAAGGAAGCTTTCGTTGCCCCTGGGTATACTGAACAGAAGCCACCAAGGCCCACGGTGCGGACGCCAGGGGGGTAACCGGTGAAAACGTCTCAACAGGATTCCTCGGATTATTCCATGCATTATGTATGCAAGATACGTGGACATTAACACATTCGAGACCGACGTTGCACTGCATGCGTCCTACGCTGCCTACGCAATATAATTGACGACGCACCGCGTGTGTTCTACCCTACCTTATGCAATGAAACGAATACCTCACTCAATACCATGCGTGTAACACGCCGTGTGCGTTCTACCCTACGTGTAATACAACCGATGACACACCCTGTATGTTCTATATCTTTGTACCAATCGTTCAACAATGACAAAATAAAAAATTTACAATTTAGATGTTATTAATGTAGACAGACTAGACTTGTACTTCAAGTTATCGCACTTCGAAACATTTGAACTCTTTTTCCTCAGAATCGTGAATCTTTTAATCGCGTTATTATTGCGGTAGTTGATCGATATATTAATCATGGAAGAGAACCATAGAAGACATAAAAAAAGAAAGAAAATTCACGTGGCAGAAGCGTGCACGTGCCCCGAGGGTTCTTACCGAAAAAGCAGAATTTGCCGTGCTGTTACGGTACCCCATGACACGTAACCGGAATGAGAAGCAGGTGACAAAGGAATGGGTCAATGCATGAGTCAGAATCCTCCGTATTTCTAATGTGTCACGCATATCAACGAGACTGTGAAATTTAATCGAACGAGATAATTTAGCGAACGTTTCGTTTCCAAAGCGAGAGAAGAAACGGAAAAAAAGAAGATTCGATATGCGATAACAGTTCTGTAGATATCAGATATCGTTCGATGCGACGAGAAAACAAAAGCGCAGGGAGGTTCTGACATATGTCAAAATTCCTAGTCTCCTTACAGACGTCTTGATGCGGTAACCCCTACAAAAATACTCGAAGAATTCTAAAAACTGATCATTGCGACCGAGAACGCGATTCGCGACAACGTATCGGAAAACAATGTGAGAACATGCACAAGAACCAATGCCAGAAATGGAAAAGCAACGAGAATGGACGAGGTTGCAATTACTCCGGAACCTACTAGGAAAAGCGCCAGAATCAGTAACAAGTGTGACCGGAAGAAGACATCGGAGGCGATATCGGTCCAGACATCGAAAATCGCGTGTTTACCCGTGGAAATCATTTACGAAATATTCTCTTATCTGTCCAACCAGGACCTTCGCGCGATCAGTCATGTGTCCAAATATTTCAAGATACTCGCTCATGACCCCTTTCTATGGAGAACTTACGAGGTAAAATTGCAAAGAAGAGAAGACTTCTAAATTCCTTGTTAACCAAAGAAATTGAACTGTTTCTGTGCGTTTAGGTGACAAGTAAGGGGCCAGATACAGACGAGGTGATCAAGGAGTTGAAAAGGATGCCACTGCTGAAGAAACTCAGCATCAGCGCCAGATCAGACTGCGACAACATACTGCGGCATATTTCGATGTCGAACAAAAGCCTGGAAGAACTGCACGTTTCTAACTGTACAGGTTCTATTCCCGTCGTCATCAGCTTTTTTTCCTTAATTAAGTTTCTTTTTCTTGTTGCCGCGAGACCGGTATCGGTAAAGCAAAGCGAGGAGAACCCTTTTTTGGCTCGGGTTCAAAAAACTCTCTGCTCTCGTCTCTTTCCTTTCGTGTCTCGTCCGATATGCGTCAGTGAAGCAGCGAAAAGGAAAGAACGACGAACGAGAAAGATACGAATGGAAAATGGAACAACACAGAGGGTTGGCAAGTTTTTGGCTGCGTGTCAAGCAAGAAAAAGAAAGCGCCGCGCCGCTGTGGTAGTATACCGTATTTCCTCTAATGGTGCATCGCGTTCCCACCCCTTCTGCACACCCATTAGGTGGTTTTCTTGCAAGTCGACAAACCGTGCCACGCAGTCATAAAAGGGGCAGAGAATTTCTATCGATTCGCGGCCCGTTTGCGTACGTTTCAGCAAATGGGATGCGCTGTTTGGCCTGGCAACCGTGTTTACCAACGAGCTTATCGCTTAATTAGTATTCCAAACACGTCCCATTGCATTCGTCCGCAGTGCAGGTGACGAAATGCTCGCGGTCGTTCTCTCTTTGAATCCTTCGATTCAATCGACAACCGATTGATGCAGTTCTTCGATTACTTTGTATCATTCGATAAGTGCTTCTTTTAAAGCTTCCGATACACATTGGTATCTAATCGAAGACGCGTGCTGAATTTCTTTTTAACTGATCGACTTCGTATAAATAAATGTATGACTCCACTTTGGATGTCCAATGGCATCGATAAAGTTTCTCTCGCTACAGGTTCCACCTCGAAATTATATCTATGCTCGGCCCACCTGATCCGGGTACTGGAGAGGTGCTGTAAGTTGCACACGATCAATATACTCGGCAGCAGATTCCGAGGTCGAAAGTTCTATCGACTGTTGGGCGACATGGGTCCACGGCTTAGGACCGTCTATGCTCCAGCCACCAGGTCACAGTTCTGCACGTTCATCAAGCACGCCCGGCTGATCAGCGAGATCGATCGCGAGAGGATCTGCTCGATGTACACGGGCGCGAAAAGTTGGGCGCCCTTGTACTACTTCGTCACTAAACAGGCTGATCGAGTGAGCACGGCCCAGATCAGCTACCTACACAACGACATTCTGCTGATCGACGTGAATCGACCGATTCATAAGCTCTCGATCACCGAGAGAAGAGACCTCTGAAGAGATCTTCGATCGGCTCGAATCTCGCAAGAGACATCGTCCGACATACCATTCCCGAAGCGAAATAGTTCTTCGAATAAAAGTAAATCGTCTTTTCGTTTCAGTAAAAATCTATTTCTTTTTCTATCTCGGCACGCGCGTTTCGAGCGGTTTTATTACGCTCGACTATATGCTGTATGTATCTACCAATTGTATACGTGTATATTTTGCCCAGTAAAAACAAATTTCTTTTAAATTCTTCTTTGAGATCTAGCTTCTAGGAAGTTGTAATCTCAAGGCGATCTATGTGGGTCGATCCGTATGCAAATGCCAGCCGACACGAGGGGTTAATTTCCGTGAGCTTTATATAGGAAAAACTTAGGTGTTCGGATCAAACGTTCGAGCTAATAATGACACGATTCAACCAATTACTTTGTATGCACGATACGATAATGAAGTTGTAGGTGTACGGTATGTTAATGCGTGACACTGATAGTCATGGCTTCTTTTATTGGCTCTCAGGGAGAGCTTAAGAAAAATTCTCCTACCTTTCCTTCTTAGAGAAATCTGTGTCTGATGCATATTTTTTTTCAGTCATCCTGTACTTGATTCGCTTCTATACACGCAAGCAAGTTGGCAAAAAGTTTCTAAAACACCCTGCCATAAAAAGAAAGTAAACTCTTGCTCACGTGTAACCTGTTCGTTGTCTATTGAATTAAATGAACCCGTTAGTGGTGCAAAAGGTTAGATTAATAGGGCTCTCGGTTTTCGACAGTTAATTAAAATCAAACTTTCCCTGAATCGCGAGACACGCGATCGTCTGTGACGAATACATCGATCGATTTCTATTACGCAAATGGTAACGAGTTCCGGTAAAATGTTCACGAGGTTGGTTCGTCGACCGTGCGGTTTCTGTTTCTACGGTCATTTGCATTCACCTATACCATAACGATATTTTACATGTAATTTGCGGATGTTCCGGTACATTTTGAGCCATGATACATCGCTCGTGAGGATGGCAATTTCTCAACATTAACTACCATAAACGCAAACTTCCGTCTATTAACACAACAACCATTTACACTGCTCTAACAATACTTCTCGAAATAGCCACCAGGGGAATCATCCTCGTTATATGGCCACCGATGGGACTGCGGTGGCAAACTAGTCTTGAAAGTGGCAATATAATGCAATGTATCATAAAATTTTATGCTTCCGTGTCTCCTAAATATATTCAGATGCAAAACAATCTCACAAAAAAATCGCTGTATTCCCGAGCGCCATATTTCTAAATTTTTTTCTCAAGAGGAAGCCAGATTTACTCCTGAGTATACGGTTTTTTATTTTTACGTCGTCAAATAATCTCGGTCTTTTTATGTATCCAAGCAGGCAATTTAATATCCTTACTTTTCATACTTTTTTCGTGCAAAAAGTACCGCGCAAGCAATATAACTAGCGTCACCTTTAAAAGTAAAATAAATAAGGGAGGAAACGCGTAGGTCGAGCATGGCACGTTTCGAGTTCCGATCGATACAGGCGTGACCCAAAAATTTCCAAAGAAAATGGGTAACGCGTGCTTAAACAGCTCGACGAGACGGTGCAATTAAGCGAAGCAACAGCTACGCGAAATTAAGTACAAGGAGGTGTGAATTACACGTTAACGATGCGATAACACGATGCTCGTTACAAAAACGAGCAACAGCAGGGAAAGTTACAACTTTTCGTTAACGCTGGAAAAGCCTGGTTTTTACCGTTCCGGTATCCAGTCATTGCGAAACACTTTCGTGCACGCATCCCGAACGAAATTGGAATTTCTGGAGCATGTCTTGTCGGTTAACCGGTATTCGAGGCTGCATTGCGCTTGCTGGCCATCGAAAGCTTGCGAGTTTGACCGATAAAGAAACGGGTAAGCGGAAAATATAGCTAGCAGAACCGACGAGATCCTCAAACTGGAACGCAATAAGATGCTGCTTTGAATGAAGAAACAGTTCTTCACGTTATACAGGGTGCTCCCCGAAATTCTCACTATTTTCTTAAATACAAAGTTACGGAAATATCTTTCGACATTTAATAATACAGTAAAATATTTAATAATAACAATAACGAAAGCTTGAAAGTGTAAAATATATTCTTTTTTTTTATAGACAATTTTGTTTTAGATAAACCGAGCGAAGGTCTGTCGTACATACAGGGTGTCCGAAAATTGGTATCCACGAAAGGGGAACCACGTAGATTAAATTACCTTTATTTCTCTTATCCTGCTTCGCGAACAATTTACGGCACCACTATCGATCACACACGAAACAAACGGATCACGATTGCGAAGTAACAAGCGGGTGGTTCGAGCTCACGTGCTATCTATGTAAATGCAGCCCATCCTGATCGCACCCGCAGCGATCACGACACGCTACGATATAGACGTAATCCTCCCACTCATTCACGGGACCGCCAACAGGTATTTCCGATAGCTCCTTCGTCGAATAACAAAGTAGTCTGCAAACGTGGAACCGTGTAAACGGCCTTTGCCGGTCACTTCCTCTTTGTTAGGCCATCGACTGGCCCGGAAGCAATGGCGTAACTAGGATGTTTGTCTGGACTGGGCCAGTTTCGCTACGACTACATTTTCTAGTAGAATTGCGTAACACGTGGCGATGTAACGTGTGGCTGCACAGTATATTGCAACGCGATATCAATATTCTATTTTTTTAGACAATTTCTAGCGAAGGTCCATCCTACTTAGTTACGCCATTGTCCGGAAGTAACGAACGGTACCTGTCGGTTTGGTTACATCATCGAAACACCTTTGGACAATTAACTGTAACCGTGGTTCCGTTCGTCTAATCATTTTTCACTCCCCGATCACGACTTTTCGATTCCTCCGTTGACGACACTGGACGTACGTTAAGTTCGAAAAGATGTTATGTTAGAAATCTACAAGTTTTTTCACTTATGCGCTACGTGTTCACAGTAACGAGCGACTTTCTTCTTGTTATCTTCGCTCAACAAATGATAATTTAACGGCGAAGTAAAAAAGAGCAAGTGAACTTACCGCAACGAGAGAAAAACCAAAAGTAGCCTGTTCAGTGTCATGCATTAGGTATTCCTCTGTCTAGTACGAAGAAATCTGTATTGTTCCATGTACTTCATACCCTCTAACCATTTCCAACAAGTTATTGAAATTCTGTTTACATCAGCTAGGTGGAACGCGTTACGCCACTTGCTCGTTCTTGCATGCTATGATTAAGAGAAATCATGTTTAGAGCCCTCTCCCTCTATTAGCCTGTACAATAGCTGCCCTCTATACATATAAACGATATCGTGCAGCGATCAGTGTGCTCGTTAAAATGCATTTCGAGGAGTATCGTCGTATTTTATATCGCAATCTTCCTCGAGAAAGATGCAGTGCTCTCGTAGAGTCTAAGAAAATTCGACGTTTTGTACATAAAGTAACCTACATTCATTTATTACTCGATACGTTCAATTCGCTTGAGTCAGTGGCTGCGCGTAATTGCTTTCATTCGGTACTAAGAAAGTTGTTCAATACAGGATCGTAATAACCGCAGACGTAATACGTTTTCACTTGGTCAATCACACTTTGAGCACAAACCAGTTCTAACAATGAACGAATTAATAAATGCTCCTCATAGTATACTACTTAGCGACGAGATTAATTTATCGAAATCGCATTGTGCGCATGATCGATTCGCGATATCGAACTTCGATTAGAATCGGTTAATCGGACGAATAAATTACGTCTTTCCGTGTGTAACGTTTGGTACGAATTCAAGCCTCAAATAGTCTCGACGCGATTGTCATTTTAATCGAGTAACGTAACCCGTGATCGTGAAGGGTTTCCTCGTGAGAACCCCATGCAACACTTTATGCGTTAACATAGCAAATTGTATTGCCAGCGAAATAATGGTAAACTCGAACACTTTTTGCTTCTCTAACACGAGGTTTCACGACGCCGAATTACGTTCCTTTCTGTTCTGGTAACGCTTTCGACACGATTTTCTCTTTTAACGATTGCTCGACTGTAAATCAAGATAGAGATCTCGCTACCGTGTGCAGTTCTATTAATCGCATTTCCTGTGCCGTTGGTGAAAGATACGATTATTGATAGAAACGGCACGAGTACAACGAGTTTCCTGAAAATCAACGTTATCGAGCAAACTATTCACCGATGCGTCATGAACTTAAGAAATCAGACCTTTGATATCGATTGATAGTTTGATTGTATTTCAGTTGAGCCCGGCACATCGATTCGATAACGGCAAATAAAAAAATAACTTTCATATCTGATATCTTTATATTCTCTATTCTTTCGAAAATAATAGACCTCGATATACCTAGCAATCCATCAATAAAAAAAATGTCTATCTAAAAACAATAGCTCAAAGAATGGAACAAGTTTTGTGCCGCAAAATTTAGACATCGACGAGCGTGCACGCGATATCGCGTAATCGAATATTTAATGTTGGCAGCCGAATAGGTGACATCGAGCGTGCGGTAAAAACATGTTTACCCATTTGCACTGATTTTTGTTTACAAAGAAAAATACTATCTTGAAAATAGAAATTCGTAGCCTAGGATCGAATAAGTCAAATGTGTTTTATTAATAAACTAGTGAAGAACGTATCATCTTATTTTGATTTAACATTTAGGAAGACTATTAGAAGAAACCCATGTGCTAGGATGAAAATAGAAGGCATAAAAATAAACCATGCTTTCTGACGAGGAAAGCAAAGAAGCGGGTGTCAGAACTTTAACCAGACGGCATGGCATCATATAAACCGCCCCGAAAATAAAAATTAGCTCATGATCTAAATATCCTTCAAGATGGCCAAAAGTTCAAAACTGTTTGAAAAATAAGTACGTTCAATGCGTATTAAAAGTGCAATTCATTCTACTTGATACATTGCTAATTAAATAGGCAATATATAATTTTAAAAACTGAACAAAAAAAGTTCAGTTAAAACTTGACGAGTCGATAAAAATGAAAATAAAAACTAGTAAACCAAAGAAATCTAAAGGGTCCATCAACTCAGCTGAGAGGAAAAAGGATGATGCTTGTCACCCTGGCAGACGACGTGTTGGCCGCGTGCTCAGCAAACAATAAAATATATGTATTTAAATGAATTTTATAACACAACTCACCAGCAGTTGATAGGACGGTTACTTTTTATTGAACTTCTGGACGAATAAAACATTACTATCAACGATTCACTTTAAATTATATCGGGATAAAGAGAAAACTTTGACAAACCGCAGCCATACCGTATGGCAGCACGACGAAGACTGCCTCTATCAACCGAAAGTCGAACTAATGTACGGTACATCCCTGAACAAAAGTTTTAATCTTTCACTGGAAAAACTACTGCCCCGCCTATTCTTATGCCTATACAATATTCTTGCAAGATAAAAATAGTATTATGGTCATTTTCTGCAAACATACGATCGCATGCTGCTTAAAGCTTCCATTAATTAAAAGAAAGCATAAGGGACGAAATATTCCTCTATTAGATTTATTTTAAAGACAACTGGTTCTAGGTTAGGCTCTGAATCGAGGCCGGTGCAAGACGAATTTAAAGTACCCCCTAGAATTTGGTCCTTGTATTTTAAAAATCTCCATGATTAATAAAAAGTTCACTAAAAATTTTACAAAACCTTACGATTATTTATAAAATTTATAAATTAAAAAGACTATTTATATTCAATACACTATATCGCCACCTATTATATTACCATGAACTATATCAGGTTTACAAATTCCAAAGTGTCAAAGTGTAAGCAATATAAATATGAATGCAAATTATATTAAAGAAATAATTATTTTAAGAAAAACAGTATATTATTTATCTTTCATTTTCCATAATACATAAATTTCATTATATTCTTCATATAACAATTATTTTATTTTCTTTGCATATTTATCTTCTAGTTCATGTAATTTAGAATCAAGTTCAGCCATAGAATATGTCTGAAATTTTATAATAATAATCACTGTCAGTGAAGTCATATAGTTTTTGAAGGAAAGAATGATACCTACCCTTTTTCTAACTGGTTTAAATGTTCCTTTGAGACTATTAATATCTTCTGCTTTCTGTAAAAGGTTGAAAATTAAAACAATAGCAATACTAAATACTTTATTGAATTTCATTATATTCAGCTGAAACTTTACCCAAAAATCTTTATATTCAGGTGATATGCCTTCTAAATACAGAATTCTATCTTCAATATTTTTAAGTCTTTCATATACATCTTTAGGAACAGGCCGATTTATTCCTAGAATTCTTTCGGTGGTCGAGATTCTATCATCTAATACAGATGAATAATTACTATTTGTTTGATTTGTTCCTGACATAGTAGCCTTACGCAAGGTATGCTGATCAACCATTTGTGGTCCCCATGCATTAAGTACTCTGTGCACTAAACAAATTCACATACTTTATTTTTGAATCATTAAACTATTATTATTTGAATTACCTTTGACGTGACTTTTAGAATCTTTTCGCCTAATAAGAATAGCATCAACTCTTGCACATGAATCTTCATTTTCATCACTTTGATCTCTAAAAATATAGCAAGATTACTGTGTGAATAACATAGAAAACTTATTAAAAAGCTTTTATAAATGATCTATTGTTAACCTGTGGCAACAAAATTCTTGTACATTTACAATGTTCACTTGTTGACGTTTTCTTTCAATGAAAGAAGATATCCTATGATTCAATTCATCGGATGTGGCACGAATTTGAATAAGATTTGGATCGATTATAACTTTAGATTCTTCCTTTCCTTCTTCTTCTTCTTCCTCTTCCTCCTCACTGTTAAATACATCAGAATTTTCTGCCACAGTTTCTACTATTTCATTTGATATTGTAATTTCTTCTGATTCTTGTAAATCTCTCTTATTATTAACTGCGCAAAATAAATATTTTATTTATAAGTACTTAATTTAGTTTGTTAAAGATATAAAATGGGTAATAGTTATAAGATCACAAACATGTTATCAACAATTTATTAATCTCTTATATGTAATATAAAATAATATAAAATATATATTTTCTCTAATTTTTTTAAAGTCCTACAACACATTATTGTTCAGTTTGAAACTGAAATATTTTAATTATATAAAAATATTATTTACTATTTGACCAGGCACATTCTTGATTCTCTTTCCATTGTGTTTCTTGCGTATCATATATTTCCTTCTTCCATATTGGAACTGAGGCTTTCAGTGCATTGATAGCATACTCAACAGCTTTCAATGATTCTTCCCTATGAGGAGATGAAATAGCAATAACTATACTTGCTTTAGATACAGGTACTTCACCAAGACGATGACTAATAGCTATGTGATGAACATTCCATTGAGAACGAATCTTTACACATATATTATTTATCTCCTTTAATGCCATTGTTTCATATGCTTCATATTCTAACTTTACAACCTGCAAAACAGAAATGTACATAATATGTTTAACTTTATGGTTCAAATTATTAAGAGACGGATACCTTTTTATTATCAAAATTATCACGAGTAACACCGATAAAAGTAGATATGGCTCCACAATTTGGAGATGTTACTGAATCGATTATTTCTTGAATATTTAGTTCTTCCTGCTGTAATTTAACAATATCTTTTGGAGCTGCCATTCTAACCTAAAAATTGTGTAAGTGGAATATTTTCATATAGATATGTACCATTGTTATCGATATTATAGATAAATTTAGTAAATTCGAACCTCCACTAAGTGGTGGAATCACTGCAATCTCGTCTTTTTCAGAAAGTTCTAACGTTGTATCCGAAGAAACAAATTCTTCATTCACTGCTACAATTAAAGTGTCTCGTATACTTTCCAATTTTAATTGATTGATTACTTTATCTTTTAAATCAGTATACGATAATTTCTTTGGAATAGTAATGTAACATTCTTTTTTGCCAGTTAATTCTCTTGCTTTAGCAAAAAGTAAAATCTTCACTTGTATTTCAAGAGCACTGTCACCCATTACGGAACATCTGCATATAATGATAAAATAAGTCTATAAACTACTGCGAAAGTCTTATCAAAAGAGGTATTATTACCAAGATATCGGGTTTCGTTATATAAGTAATCCATCATTCGAAATAATAGGTATTCCATTTAATGTTTGAAACAAGGTTATATTTCCTACAGTAAGACATCAATCAGGGTACTGTCTATATTTCATTGTCGATAATACTGAATGAAATGACTACATGCATTGATATAGTGTTACTATTAAAAAAATGAATGAAGTATAGACTACTGTTTGAGCATACACAATAGTTAAATAACCTAATAAAATTATCTTTATTTTTTACAAGTCAGAAAAGTGGATAATATTAAGTTGATAGTTGGTAATTTGGGCAACAAATTTAATGAACGACGTTTTTCTCGAACGAGAATTTGATATATTGCAATAACATTCCGCGAATATTAGTCAATATTAAAATTAGTATTTTCCATTAACATCATTCTTCACACCTTCTACATCACTGGCGGTAGTGTCAGTTAAATTACGCGCTTAATCAAACTAGGACTGATGTATGTTAGAAAGAGTATACTAAAAGTTGTTATTTGTAAAACATCATATATATTCCAATAAAAAAATATTATTTATCTTCAAATTTCCAGTATATTTGAACCCTGTAAACGTGATTATGTTATAAATAACTATAACAATTTGAGAAATATAAAAACATTATTTATTTAAATTATCACCTTGCTGCGTACAACGAAGGAGTAACGATAAAATAATTCCCCCCAAAAAACATAATAAAATAGTGTTTTGATATAAGTGTAGATCGACGGGAGTACCTTGTATCATATTAAGGTCAACCGAGAAATGAGGTCAATGTAGCAAAGAATCGTACTGTTCCGCTTGCATAATATTCGAAATACAAGATCTAACATATTAGTTAAATTATCATTTTATATGTTTCTACCGAGTTACAGTCTTCATGTTAAAACCATTTTAATTCTTTGTGCATTTCGAAAAATTGCATTTATATAAATATTCATTTATTTTCGAGTTTCAGAACGCGTAGAAATCTAATCTTATCGGTATTAGAGATGAGAAACTTTACAAGACACACGACCCGTAATTTTATGAGTAATGTATTAACAGCAATACGTTGGTGTGTTAGTAAACGGCGTCCTTGGATAAGCATTTAAATGTATGCATCGTGCGTGCGGCACAATGTGCGCTCACGCTTAAGTATAGATGGACAGCCTGCTAACCCAAAGTCTAAAAGAGTGCAGGGATCTAGCTCGTTCACTTGAGTCGCCGTGGTACAAGGACAATACACGTTAAAGGAACTTATTCCTTTAACGGTTAGGTAACACTCTTAAGAACAATCTAGGTATTACAATCTACTTATATGTACATATACAGATATTATTTAGAAACGCTACTTCAACTAAACGCTGGACACGTGACGCAATAAGAAAAAAATGTCAAGATCGTTACTCAACTTGACCACTTTTAAAAGGCCAAAGTGTTTTTGGTTTTGAGTAAATGTTACACCTTAAGTTCATGGGTCAGATATGGTTCGAAACTTAACAAAATAAAAATGTTAAACAGTACACCTGCTAAAGGAAAAAGTTGCGATAGGGAAGACATTAGGAATAGAACTAAAAACATTTTGTATGCTATGCATTTGCTGACATACATACATATATACCAAGTGTAGAAGTTCAAAACGAATGTAATCGACGACGAAACACCGTGTGCGTCGCATGGAAGAGAAGTGCAATCGAGCGAGGTCGTGCGGTGATTATATACCGAGTAATACCAGTAATACCATCGCTAGAAAAATTCATGACAACGAGCACTCCGATGCAATGTAGTCTCTCTTGGTTAAGGGGAAAGGCAAAGAGAGAAACATGCCACTATTTACTTTCAATATTAGGAGAACAGAAGATGAGACTAGGAAATTCAGTGGGTAACGTAACGGGTCGAGATGGTACGAAACCGTAGAGAAAGTGTGAGAGAAACCTAAATATTTTTGTAAAAATTCAGGGAGATTCTAAGGAGTCTAGGTAAATTTTACAGATAATAAGTATAGATCGCAGAGTGAACCTAACCTAAAATTACATGAGGTACACGGACAAATAAGACACGTGGTACTTCTCCTCCTACACTTCCCTTTGACCAAAAGTAACCTAAGTTGCACGAGGTTGTACGTACGTGTTACATGCACCAACATAATTGAATCTGAGAGATAATCGCAAGACTTGTACACGCGAGGCGTCATGGTCCGATGTGTTTGCGTTTGCGCTTTTAGTTCAAATACAAAATACAAGAATCCAAAAAAAGTGGAAGTGTCACGAGGTAGAGAAATACGTTCGCACAGATGAGAAACGATGGAAGATCTGAAGATGCTTTGTGCGCACGTGTCTAAAGGTTGTTCGAATTATGAGGTGAACGTTTAATGGTATACAGTACTCAGGAGCCACCTTGTGGCTTGAAGATAATCTTTCGGGTGGCAGAACGCGCGATTCACGAATTGTCGCTCTCGTCGTTTTAACAACGAGTTGCATTCACAACTAACTTATAACAGCATTGCGACACCCGACTGTGACCGAAAGCTTGTGTGTGTATATAGGACCGTTTGCTCACGGATTTGTACCAATTTATTTGTCATGCAAAATAAATTTTTATCTACGAAATTACGTGTCGTCTGATATTGCTGCAACTTCGGACTTTACTCCTTTTCGATAGTGAATCTCTTACGGTTAAAAGAAATCGATTTGTGACCTTTTGGAAAAGTAAATTTTGAGAACGTGAAAGAACCCGTTTGAAATAGTACAGCATACATGTACAATATTATTCTGCCACATATGCGCGTAATCGATATTAGAAAACAATATGTACAAGTTTCAATGATGACTGCATTGTTTCCTGCTGATTGCAAAAAATATGCTTTAATGGACGCTGCGTCGATCGTACTCATTGATAATGCAGTAATCTAGTCAATCTTTTGCATTTAAATTTTCCCGTGTAAATGAATAAAGTCGTTTACTCGAATCACTTTGTACGATAAGAAACTCAAAGGGATCACATTTTTAAACACGTGATTCATTAACGAACCAATAGTGCACGGTATCTACGTTCTTTCCTTAGATAAGACACTTATAAATACTTCTTTTTCCATGTCATTAACTGTATGCACGTATACACGTATTTGGTAACTGTTTTAAAATTTCGCTTTCAATAGAAAATTATATTTCATTTGAATATTTAACGAAGAACGAAGGTATATACATTTACGGATATTTTAATCGATATAATGTCAAAGACGTAACATTCACATCTACATTGAAATCATGTTAAATTTTCGATAATTCGAACGCCGATAGCCTTAAATCGTATCTACATGCAGTGATAAAAAGAGAACCAAACATCGTACTCGATAAGCTGCCACGATTCTACTTTTAAAATCATTGCTAGGAAATCAAATGCATCTTATTCACTTGCACATGAACTATGATGTCATACCGCAGTGCGCACCGACGGCAACAAGATTAACGGCCTTGACAGGAAAAATATTTTTATAGCATAGATAGTTTTCTCTTAACACATATTATCTAACACGTTAACATCTGAAATTCGTATCAACTTTTTTCTTTAACAAACCGTGTGTATCCGTACGTACCTTAAACGAAACAACAATGGTAAAGTAACGAGTGCAGCTGTGCGACGGTTCAGTAGTAAAATCAATCGATAGTTATTCGTTGATCTAACTTTGATTCGTGTGATAGATGATTCGCGATGCGCATTAGAAACCATTAAATCGTTTATTACGAGATACTAAACTATACAATCAATTATGTAATGTAACGTCAAAAAAGAATAAATCAATAAATACAAGTTTATATGTATAAATAAATAATTATAAGGTTTTATGTGCAAATTGACGATCGAAGAATTCGATAAAATTTCGAACGTTTCGTTTAGGATCAATTCGGACATTTGCTGCGGGCCCCTGTTTAAAATTGTGCGAAGCTAAATAAATCAGTCATAAATTTTAAAAGTACTTATTATGGATGAAGCCCTGTAAAATTTACGACCTTTTCTGAATTGTTGCATGGATATAACTAGGTTGTCAGTCAAAGAGGGCAAACTTTATCTTAAGATAAATTTCATCATATTATGTACTTTAAAGGAATTTTAGATTTCTGAAAATAGGAAACACACAACGAAAATCTTTTATGGCAATTAAAAAGAAGAACACTGTTATAAAAATTTGTCACTCTAACTAAAAGTTCGTGTACGGAGTTCGATAATTTGTCAGAAGTATAGATTTTGACAGAGATAACTCTAGCGAAAGGGTTAAAGCGCAGGTTCCAGGAAGACTCGCACCGTCCCTGATTTCGTGGTTAGCGCGAGTACGGCGCGTAAGGGCCCAAAATAAGACGCCCCTGGTGCAGGTTGAGTAATACGTCCCTGCAGAACGGAGCCCGCGAGGGCTGGTGGGAAAAAGAGAGGTGGGCTGACGAACAGTGGAGCGACGAGGATAGAACGAGCGAGAGAGGAACGCGAGGGCCGAGGCACACCATCGAGTATCAACCAGCTGGTTGGCAAGGCAGCCGCGAGCAGTCGCCAGTGTGACGCGGTACCCCGCGAGGGCTTTCGTCGTTTGTTCCGTTCGTCTAATACGTGTGTCTATATGTCCGTCATCTCCCTTCCGCTTAAACCTATCGTGGTCGTGCGTACGTTCATTCGTTCGTCCGGTCCGTGTGTGGTGAGTCTCTCTTCGCTAGCTTTCAACGACGACACTTGCCACCGGTCGGGACTATCGTCTCTGTGTCAAAGTACATCTCTGTCTCGCTCTGCCTCGCTCTCTCTCTCTTCGTTTCTCTTGGCGTGCCCGACCGAAAAGACAAGATGGCTGCCGACTCAGGAATGGAGACGTGTCCCTCCCCGGAGATCGCAGACTCCAGGAAGCGGCCGCTCGATTGTGACGCGGAAAATGGCGCGACGAAGAGGTCTCATTACGGATCAGGTATTTTAATCGCGCGTTGTCAATCATTTTATCCATCACCGCGACGAAACATTCCTCTGCGTACCTTCATACCGATCTTCCTATACACGTATGAACGATAAAATACGCGCACGATAATTCTCTCTCTTTCTCTTTGCCCTCGCTCTTTTTTTCATCTTTCTCTGTTCCTTGCCTCCGATACCTATTCTTTTACTGTCAGGGTGCGTTCAGGCTGAGCGAGCGAATGCTCATTCTTCCCCCACTTCTACAAAATTTGAGCGCAAACGAGCATTCGTCCGAAGCTCGACGATTGCTCGCCCGAATGGATCCTCGATGTGAACAAATGTTTTAACAATAATGTTTGCTCATCGAATCAATTTGATTTGATGCAATTCAATTCAATGCAATTTGACTCGACTTAATTCAATTCCACGTGATTCAATTCGACGTGATTCGCTTCCACGTGATTCAATCAAATGCGTTTCAATTCTTCACGATTCAATTTGGCGTAATACAATTATACGTGATTTGGTTCAGCACGATTCAATTCTACGCAATTCGGTCCGACCCGATTTCAACTCTGCTGTACCGAACATTCAGGCCTCCGGTTTAATATCCACAAAATATTCGCTTACGTTCATCAGTTTAGTAGTACCAGACAGTTTGCTGGATAGTTGATTATGCTAGCATAATGGAGCGCGAACGAATGTTCGTGCTCGTTTAGTCTGAACGCACCCGCACGCGCCTTTGACAATGTTGTCGCTGGTGCTGCTGTTGACACAGCGATCACTCGCTCGGCCGTTCCCTTTCGTTTCCCACTTCGAAGTCTGGCGAACGTGTACACGAAGGCGAGAATGCGAACACGGTGCACCGCACAGCGGTTCGCGCATCCTCTCGTGCCACGTCTCCTTCTCTTTTTCGTTTCTCCATTTTTTCCAAATCTCTTTGCTATCTTCGTAAACGCGAGCTAGAACGTGACACCTGTAACGGTGTTTTTCACGGTTGACGTTCGTTTCGTTACCGTCAACGTCATCACTGTCATCGTTTTCGTCTTCGTTGATTCCCTCCCCCTCTCTGATTCGTTCCTAGTCATCGTCAACATTATCCCTTTTTCCCTCGAATTAGTCCGTTTTTCCTCGCTGTCATCACCGTGGTCGTCATTGACATCGTCGTCATCGTCGTCGTTGTTCCTGCGTGGGCGGCCGTGCCTGTGAAACGTTGTTAATGGAGAATTGCTGCTGCGGTGGCTGTCGATCACGCTCCGTGACTCTGCAACTTCGTCTCTGTCGCGGTTGTTTCATTGGACGCGCGACCGCTAGCTTTACGACGGAAACGTTAGAAGTGGTTCTACGTGAAGTTTCGTCCGTACGCATATTGTTGTGCACGTTCCTCGGGCGCATTACCGTAGTGCAGTGCCGTTGTCGCGAAAGCGCCTTAACGAGGAACGTGCTGTTATTCGTTCAGTGGCAGTCACTAGGATGTGGCGTATCGGTGAGTTGTCAGGCACACCGTTCCGCTGCCGAGGTTGCGGGTCAAGGTCGATACGAAGCAAGCGAGCGAGCGCACAGGGCTTCCATCTGTCAAACAGCTGTTTGCCTTCGACGCATCGAAACTTTGTGTCATTCCGCGTTACGTTTCCTTGTTCGATGATTACGCGATAACATTTTTCCTCGAGCGGCGTTTTCGTCGATGCACATTGGACCTTCTCGCGTGTGTGTACTCGAGTACTGTTAATGATTTCCTATTCCCCCAAATCGATGTCCAATCAAAAATCAAAAGTTTCGTCGAAGCAACATGATATTTAACAAAAAGTATTGCAAAATCGTTCAACAGCTATCTTGAATGTTAAAGTTCAACAGCAGTGGTTTAATTTATGCACCGGTATATTTATAAGCAGCGTTTTGATTAGAAAGAAATATTAAATGTTATCGTGCAAGTGTGTTTTATTAAATTTTCTGTATTTATAAAGGATGAGTCATTTAACTGTTCAAGTCATGATTTTTTTTTCTGCAGTTGCATCAGTCGGAGCTAATTGCCGCTGTGGTACTAAGGCAAATAAAGAATGTTAAATGTATCGAATGTTAATTGTAGATTCTTCATTCGAAACATTTTTTTTATATAAATAATTTTGAAGATATTTGAGGGGATTAATGGAATTTAAATGGCTCACTCTATATTACCTATTTTATATTTTTATAATTTTGTTTTTATCAATTATATACTTTTCTTAATAATTGTTTTATTATATTCACACATCGACTGCTAAAAATGTTGTCAAGTAGTAGTTCTATTTTGAACAAATTTTAGTTTGATTAAGTAAGTTCCAAAAATTTCTAATACTATATGTAACAGGTTCCTATTGGGATTTGGGTAATGTAGATGGCAGTCAATGTGTTAGTATATAAACAAAAGTTTTATTTGCCAATAACTTATATCGGAGCTTAGCACAATTTCATTTTTTATAAAATTGAAATAATAACATTTCATGATTGTTCATATTTAATAGGAGGAGATGGAACATATCACCTCAAAGTATTGGTCCCTGGCGTTGCTGCAGGAGCTATTATCGGAAAAGGTGGAGACACAATTGCTCAGCTGCAAAAGGATACAGGAGCTAAAGTCAAAATATCCAAATCGCATGACTTCTATCCAGGTACAGTAGGAACATTTTCATGTGTCGTACTTGACATTACAGTAGCTGTTTGGTTTACAGGAACAACAGAAAGGGTATGCTTAATAACGGGTAGTTTAGAAGCTATAATGGCAGTTATGGATTTTATTATGGATAAAATACGTGAAAAACCAGATCTCACGTTGAAGACAACTGTTGACTCTGAATCAGGAAAAACCACGGCAGAGAGGGATAAACAGGTAAACCTTTTATATATGTATACTTTACATATTTTAATGATAACAGATCACTTTCATTTATCTTCTGATAAAAATCTGTAATATTATTTTCATTGGTCGTTGTCAACCTTGATCTAATTATCAGGCTTCAGTCATTTATTATACTAATGAATAAACAGAAATGTTTGTGTTATTGTTAAATGTATGCGTACATCTATGTCTGTTAAACATTTTTCATTTACATAAAATGACGAATGCAATGTTTTAGGTAAAAATTTTGGTACCTAATAGCACTGCAGGGATGATAATAGGTAAAGCTGGAAACTATATTAAACAAATTAAAGAAGAATCTGGCTCGTACGTTCAAATAAGTCAAAAGGCAAAAGATGTATCTTTACAAGAACGATGTATAACAGTAATTGGGGAAAAAGAGAACAATCGTAATGCATTAATGATGATATTAGCAAAAGTGGCAGACGATCCACAAAGTGGCATATGCCCCAATGTTAGTTACGCGGATGTAAGTGGTCCTGTAGCTAATTACAACCCCACAGGCAGTCCTTATGCTCAAGCGCCTACAAGTACACCCACGTATACTTCTACAGCTGGCATTAATACAGGTATGGTCTTGGTAATTTGAACAAAATAACTATTGTGAAGTAACGCGTAAACGACGATTATGTCACCGCATAAACACTCGTTAACGTCATATGTATTTGTTCACAGTGAGCCTTTTGAACGGTGCTGGTCTTAGTTTGAACTTGAACTTGGGAGCTGCAATAACGGCGGGTACAGCACCAGTGACGACGCAATTATTGGAGCACATAAAGTTAAATCTACGAACAGCGGGTTTCTCAGAACCTGCTGCTACCGAAATTTTATCAGCTATTGCTACTCTCGCTAAGTATAATCTCCTTGGAATGGGTATTGGAATGCCATCCAGCATGAGTTACCTTGGGAATCCTATGGATAGTACCACAACCGCAAACGGTTCGAACAATAATGGCGGTGTATTTGGGCCAATTGGAACGGTTCCTGCCCTTGGATCTACGTCTCCTACACCACGTAATACACTCGATAGATACGAGGCGTTTGACCCGTTCAGACAAAACAACACAGCTGCCAGTGCTATTCATCTAAACAACAATTCGTTTGGCCTGGGTACTAACCAGTTATCACTTGTAAGTAAGAGCCCTACACAGGTAGACGTCAACAACAAGGAGACCAAGAAAGTAGACATAGAAATTGCAGAGGTTATAGTGGGAGCTATTCTGGGACCCGGTGGTCGTGCCCTCATTGAGATTCAGCACCTAAGTGGCGCCAACATACAAATCTCTAAGAAGGGCATGTTCGCTCCTGGTACCAGGAACCGCATAGTGACTATCACGGGTTATCCTAATGCGATCAACACTGCTCAATATTTAATTGAACAGAGGATTAGCGAAGAGGAAGCAAAACGAGCACGTCAAAATGCCCTCGCCAGTATGATCAATTGATTTCAAGTACAGCACTTTTGTTCATCCCCATTATTGAGCTCCGTTATTCATCTTTTCACATCTTGAGATGATGCTTACGGTAGCTCTCTCTTCCCTTCTTTAACAAAAAAAAGTAACTCGTCCACTACCACCTTACCACCCGTTGTCATCTGTCGCAACATCACTAATAGCGCTTGGCATTCTCACATCACTATTCATGCATCCATCATGGCTCGTCAACATTTATCTATCTTTTAAGATTATTATGATATATATAAATATTATATGTTAAATGATAACTACTACAATTGTTCTGTGATACACCACGTTACGGGGCTTTATCACAAATAACACACACGTACCACATCAGAGTCACATAATATATCTAGTTGTATGGTATAGGATATTGAAACATGGCATGATAAAAACTATATAATTACATTTAGAAACGAAATGGCACAATTTGGCCGCAATTGTTCTTGAAAGATCGAGATTGCAATGATACAATGGGTAATTGTTTCGTTTCATGAAATGAAATCTATTTTTTTTTCCCTTTTTTTTTATACATATAGGAGCATAATTTATCTATTAATACAAGGGAGAGATACTTTTAGTTACAAGGTCATACAGAACTCACAAATTGAATGACTTCGATCTGAGGAATTAGTACAGTGGCATATCTCGTTATGCGACTTTCATGCAGCGCTTGATTTCTAAAGTCCTGCCGTCTGAAAACTGAAATTTCTAAACTTGGAAGTTTGAAAGTTTCTAAATTCAAAATGTCTAAATTTCTATGCGCGCTATAATGACGAAGGACGCGTTATTAAAACGTGTGGAAAACTGTGAGAAGGTTGACGCGCTGTACGGATTATATAAATGGGAGCCATATAACGAGACTGGCACTGTACTTAAATGTGTATCTCGCAAACTAAATTACATTCGTTTTCACAAACTGATGTTTTGTGAATTATTGTATTGAACTGTTCCTTGAACTATGAAATGATTAGGCTAATTAAGCAATTTTACCCTTGCTTAACATACTATCTGAACGAGATTTTTAAGTACAGAGTGATACCTTGGCAAAACCAAAGATCTTACATATGTTAAACAGAAATGACTTGGCTGGAAGATAAATATACATACAAAGGGAGAGCTATTCTACATATAAACATATATTTATATATTTACAACAGCTGGCTGGTCCAGCTAAACGAGTAACATAATACCTTATTGCCAAGTTTTATTCTGAATCCCAAAGCCTTTATTTCTCAAAAATCTTCATCGAACTTCTAGCGTTAGATTAATGTACACAGAAATATATAAACATCGAGCCTCATTCTTTCTTCACATGTATATGCTCTTAGGAATGGAGAATTCATTATGCTAGGATGATAGAGTAAGAATCATTCGATTCATTAGAATGAAGATTCTCGAGTAATAGTTTCAGTACAGTTACAATACAATATCATAGATACACGTTAACACATTCGAATATTCGTCTAATTATTTTTAGTTTCAAGGTATATCAGTTGAATACAATTTCCATCAATGCAGTTTAACATTTCTTGACACTCGCATAGAATTATTTTCTTTTCTTTTCTTTTTTTTTTTGTTGTCATTCCTTTTACAGAGTTAAAGCTGCATGTATAACAGTTCTTCTTATCGTATAGAAATATTTATATATTTATACACATGTATATTTTCAATAGTTTAATTGTCGAGCATCCTCAATGGAAATATTTTGTTCTCGTTAGTAAGTATTTCTTTTCTACGCAATGATTAAATTTGTGACGAAATGCATATAATTTGAGATTATACACGCATCGGATAGTTTAATCTTTGATAGAAATGCGTCCGTCAATAATTCAGCTATCGTGTCATACATCCTTGGGTTCTGTATGATACTGCTTTAATGTGGACTTCTATTTAAGGACAACCAAATCTTTGACAGATGTTTTTTAACTATCGCACCTTGACATTGAATCAAATCATTAGATAAGGAATGAATTTTAGCTAGGAAACATTGTTTCTGTTGATGATAATTGTCAATACGGATACAGCTTACATTTCATTGCTAGATAAGAAAGAAGATATATATATATAGAGAGAGAGAGAGTGTGAGAAAGAAAGTAAGAGAGAGAACGAGAGAGAAAGAGAGAGAGAGAGAGAGCGAGCGAGAGAGAGAAAGATATTGTTAATAACAGACGTTTCAAATTATTGTTTTTTCTTTTTGTTTGTTTTTGGGGGAGGGGAGGGGGGTAGTAGGTATATAGGAAGGGTGATATAAAGGGATAGGTGGTAATCAATAATGGGTTTAGTTAAAGTATCTGAAAACGTTAGCTGTAGCGTGAAATGAAATATATAAGTGTACATGAGTACAATTCATAGCTGGAGGCGCTGGCTCACCGCTCTTTAAAGATAACTTGTATATTCATAAATATCGCATAACATGAAGTAATAATATATTACACGACAGAGAAAAGAAATAAAGAATATATATATATTATATATATAATATGTATACATGTATGTATATGTATAAAGATGCATATATATATACAAGATATATATATGTATTATAACATGAAAATTTTGAATTAGACTATAATTATCATTATTATTATTATTATTATTATTATTATTATTATTATTACTATTATTATTATTATTAAAAGAGAATTCATATTATCTAAAAAGAAATCTAAATGACATATGTATGTGCATATTTATATGTATATATGTGTATGCATATATGTATATACATTTATATATGTATGTATATATACATATATAAATATAATATATAAAGATATTAATATAAGTAATGAAATGATATTATATAAATATTGTTGACAACAAAAATATAATATATATATATTTGCGTCCGCGTACGTAGAACATGGTTTTATGTTTATCCATAAATTGTATGTGAAATATTGTCGATTAAACTTCACTGTGTTGCCCAGAACGAAGAAAACAAGGAATGATATCCATTCGAAAATCATGCAGACACGAATCTGAAGATCCAAACTAACCATTAGGTTGCTGTAGATAGTTATATTCTGAGAAACTTTCATATAGAGTATATATACATATATATATATGTATGTATATATATATATACAATACGGAGTTTTAGCATTAATTTAATTTATGAATCGCTTACGTTGCAATGGCGATGGCGCTATTGACTGCGTTAATCAAATGGCAGCATAATATTTCTTTACGTTGATCACGTACAATTCTCATCATCACATTGGAGCTATCGTTTTTTTTGATGGTATTCTGAATTTTAATCCTGTTGCCGCTTTTTATTCTGTAATACCGTTTGTGATTAGCGTTTCTCGACTGCCGGTGGGCAGGTGTGTTTGCAAATGATTTTAATCATTTTCCAAAATGATTTGGATTATTTTTCTACAAGATGATTCCATGAGTAGTGTTGTTTTTATAACATGTTCATTCATTAATTTCTAATCGACGATACTAATGGAAAGTTTGGACAGTTATTTTTGCCTAGTTTTAAGCTATGTTTTGATCTAACATAAATGCTATTTTGCGATATTTTTATGTCATTAAGTCATGGCAAACTGTTGGTATTTACACGAATTACATTCTCCGTTATTTTCTCTGTTGAAGAACCATCCTATATAAAAAATGTTGGTGGACCGTTACGTAAGCATAGTCACCAAGCTTTAAACTTCAAATTGGTGTGGCCTAAATACCATGTTGTGATACTTTCGTGTTATCAAATCGTACTAGATATCTGATTTAATATATATTTTTTATTGAAATTATCACAAATTAGGCTCTTTAGGATAACACGCGACAATAGTTGAAATTAACTGCAAAATGGCTCACAAGTCAAAGAATTCGCAGGGTAGGAAGCAACATTACTTATGGAACAATCTGAACTCGCCAGAATTTCAATATGTTTCGTACTCGTTACAAATTACACCATTACATTTTTTAGTTTCCCTCTGTGTTGCTTCCCCGACAAGCAACAGCTTCATCTTTCGATCGCAAACGAACGAACACACTCGTTCCCATGTTTCTAATATTTCTTACTCCATTTAAAATCGATTTGATCTCAAATTCGAACGTTAAATTTTGTTACACCGACGAAACAAAGAAGGTGGATGCATCTTGCTTCTCTCCGGAGAATAAAATAAAAAAACAACTTGTAGGTAGCAGAAGATAATTATCATTAGGTTATTATACGGTTCTCTCAGTAAACACATTCCTTTAGTAGAACAGATTATATTGTTATAAGGCTAGCTGTGATGGAATTTTAAGGGTGGGAGGGATATATTATTCGTCAGCTGCCAGTACGTGAAAAATGCCACGATACGATGTTGTTGATAGTGTGTAAAATCATTAGAGTTTATTTGTTCAGGATGGTGTTGGAAAAATTGTTTGTTATTTGGTGAAACGATGCCAAGGAAGTGGGTCATCTTTACAGATGGCGGATGATGGTGTTACAGGTGCAATTCAGATTTTGTATGTTGGTTAGCGATATTTATAATGTTGGTTTTTACGCTGGAAAACGAGTGCTTGGAATTTTTATCCTTTCACTGCGAATTTCTACATCATCAAAATCAAATAGTTTGCAAAAGAATACAGACTTTTTTCAGAACATTATATTAGAAATTTAAAATGCTACAATAATAAAATGTTTGCAACAGGGCATAACACTATTTCGTCGTACAGTGAAAGGGTTAAAAATGTCCTCGCATCGACGGTATAGAAAAGCCATAGAGATCAGCCAGTCTAATATAAGTATTTCCTTTAGCGATTTATATGTACAATAAATAGTATTTTATAAATATCGTGAATATTGTGGGGGTAATGGTCATCGATATCCATTGTATACGTTAGAATTTATTTTTTAACGCGTCGACTAATCACGCTAAGAGTTTAATGAAACAATGGAGGAAAAGAGACGAATTTGAACACCCCCGTCAACCCTTTCAGCTTTGACAGTGGATTCTCAAACGTGGCGACAATCTCAGGGATCGATCGCTTTTCTAACGAAGGTGTTAAAAAAATTAATTCTTAATATTCTTTAACGAGAAGCTTTAAAGTTCTTAAACTATTTTTCGAACTGTTACAAAATTGATCGTTGATATTTTTAACGCTTTCGTTGGTAAAGGATGAAATAAAGAAATGGGAGAAAATTTTTCTTTAATTAAATTATACCAACTAGAGAGAGGGTTAGCGTGATGGTCAACGCGTTAAAAAGCGAATTGCAAGATACGAAATTCCATATAGAAATTCAGTTATACTGTTTATATGATAAAAGTTTGGACGAGATCGATTCTACAAGTCAGGATTGTTTCACTTGTATACTTTATGTCTATGTGCATGCTGTCTTTGATCAAGAGAAAGAATACAGGTCATTTTGATCTGTAATATAGAGAAAACGAAATTATGTGTATGCATTAAATTTGCAACTATTTCCATATTTTATTTTAAGTGGGTCAAAATAATCCTGCATCCGTTATGAGAAAAATGGGACAGACTATAGTCAGAGGAGGTTACTTTCTCTTAATTAAAGAAAGCCACTTTGATGATGGTACTACAAAAACTTTTTTGACAAATTAAAATTTTCATTTCTTAAATTGTACTTCGCGTAGATCAATCGATATATCAAAAGTTTAATAAACATATCAATTTGGCAATCTTGAAAAGTTTGGGACACTATTGATTCTTGAATATCGAACGTTTTCATATCTGTGATTCGTAATAATTGTACCATCATTTCACGATGCACAGTTCATAAGTTCCAATCGATTAGATTGTTGCTCGTCGTTTATCGAACAGAAAAAAGTACGCAAATACCTCTGGTGCAAAGTGGCAGGAACAGTATTGGTTGGCCAGTCTATTTGTTACCTACGAGTTGTTTAACAATCGAAACGACTAACACCGTGTTAGATTAATCGAAGCCGGCAGTCGTTACACGTTTAGACGAATTCTTATCTTCTATACAATGCTTTATTTTGTACAGTTTCTTCTTCATTGTTTCGTTGTTCCTTTCTCCGAGCGGGAAACGGTACACGAACACTTGTTCGACGCACGATAATCGTATCGTGTCGTGTCGTGGATAGTTGGTACACGAATTAATAAATCTAGATGTGTACGTAGTGTCTTAAAAAAAGTCTCTTATAAAAAGTCGTGTCACGTTACAGGTTCGACGTTTGAATTCAATTAATTCACGGAATGAGTGAAGAAAAGGTAGAAAGAAAGAAAAAAAAAGAAATTATTAACTCTTCGCACGTGGAGAACACATAATATAGTGTGTAGTTTGATCAGGGAACCGTAGGAATTGCATTGACTCGCTCGATTCTAATACGAACTATTGTTAAACAGTAACTATAAATAATTATTGAATTCGACACAATTGTCGCCACGCGGATATGTGGCTTTCCGTGTCACGTTAACTTGGCTGTGTGTGCTAGGCTACATTCGTAAATCATTGTTCCATCATCCATTCACCTCCACTCGCACAGACCTTCCCTGTTTCACCTGCGTTAGAATTCAAGCGAACAAAATGAAAAATGGGCGAGAAGTGTGCGACAGTACGTAAACTCCTAGTTACCAATCTTATTAACAACCTTCGTTTGCTACGTTTTTTCACTGGTGCAACATGCTGGAGACCCCTAAATTTCTTCGAAAGTTTCCTAGGTTTAACTCAGTGCTATGTACTAGCGTTAATATATTCTAGCAATGCGACCAAGGTCTCGTTTCATTGCTACACTTCTTGCACGTACTCTGGAACACTTCTTACCTCTTTTTTTCGGGCGGGATAAAATGAAGAAAAGGAAGGGTAAACGATAATATTTATCGTTGTGTGTAAAATAAATAGACGAACGTTTGGAGAGGAAAAGACAGGAAATATTTGATACCAGAAAGGAAGAGGGAAAACTTTTTCGCGCGACATTTAAATACACACTCCACCCAATCACTTTAGTGCCATATTGATATATCCCCATCAGCCACACTTGTTGACGTTTTGACGGTAGAAACGTGTTGTTAAAGATGTGTATATTTACTGCGATCGGGCAGGCTGTTTTGAATAATGTCAGAATACGTTTAATCTTTCGTTTACACGAGTATATATATACATATACATATATAAATATATTAAATCGTTGCGAAGTATTAATGAAATACATACATACATACATACATACAAAATACACTCACAGTTCTGTATGCTTGTTTAGTTCTTCTTGTTTTTCTTTTACAGTGTACAAATAATTTTTCACCGTTGCTGAGGTCATTTTGTTAACACCTTATGGACAGATGCCTTTTATGGTCAATATATTTCGTTGGCTAAGGCCAACGAATTGTACATATGTACTGTTACGATTTAATCAAATAACTGACAAATAAGGAAACTGAAATTGTAGATAGCAATTTGAAACTTTCAGGTAAATTAATCCCTAGTGCGAAGTCTTCTAACAAATTGAGGAAATAAGGGAACCTCTGATTCTTTAATTTAAATCCGTCTGTAAGGTGTTACACTAAATTACGATCATAAGATGTATACAGTCGCTTCTAAAGATTTCTGTATATCCGATCAAATTTAACAATTTTCTGTCATAAAATAATTACACCGAAATTTCTGATACGTTTCAAATAAAAGAGGCCTACGATGTTGTCGAAGAGACAAACCTCTCCTCATCACAACGAGGACTTTTCAAATAATCCACCTACGTTAATCCGTTAATAATTTTTCTAGGATATACAAAGAGTAAGGAGCGATTGTATACACGGTTGATCGTAAATCTCCACAGCTGAACCTACCGTTTGATGTATATACCACGCGTATGTACAAGGACACTGTATTCTGTATAAAAAAGGGAAATGTTATTGTTTCTTAAACGAAGAACAATGCGTTTCGTTCTTGAATCGTTCCAGAAAAGAAGGAGAACGTGGTCACGCTTCTTCATTTCGTTTCAAACGATCGAAAGGTTTTTACAGAGCTGCATAATTGCTTCTTCCTTCTATTTTTTTCTTTCGATTTACGGCTTTCGAAGCATTATTTCTAAAAGGAACGTTGCATTTGAGACGCTTTAAGAATTGTTATATTCTTGAGAAGATTCCTTTACTGCCACTTTTGCAATCGTTCGCTAATAATCAAACGTGTTTTAATGAATATAGTGAAATTTACCATAGTCGAAGGAAATAACAAAACACACAAAAAAAGAAGCTACATTGGTATAGAGGTGTAATGTTACGTTAAGGAGTATTAAATATTATATATATAAATATATATATAATATATATATTTAAGAGATACGATACGATAGTTATGAAGGGAAAAACAGGATGAAGAAGTAATAATAATAAGAATAATAATAATAATCGATTGCGTTAAAAATTGATCGACAATAGAGCAGAATTCTTAAAACGTAGAAACAAGCTTGTCTCAGAAACAGAATGGGAAAAGAAGATTAATCTTAATCTGTTTTCTGTTAACTGGGGAAATATTTCGTTATTCGACAGCGATTCACGTACTTGTTCGCATCGAATTGATACTTCTGTAACATAATTATATTTTATTGGTGCTCAACGCGAATCAATCTATAATGACAAATTGTAAATGTTCAATTTACTGTAAGTTCCACGATAAATGTCGTCGATTCTAGCGTTTGAAAGTATGCGAACAGATACGTGAGTCATTGTTAAAAAAAACAATGCTTCGAAGTTATTTTGAAAAAATTAACCTTGCCGCTCCCACCGTTTTCTAGAATTGAAAGTAGACTTCGTTTTATCTCGATCGTCAATGAGTCATTGAAATGAGGCAATCTGTTATATTCTTCGTTTAATCGTTATCACGGTTCTAACATTTTGTACCTTCGATTAATGGCAGATCAGAGGCGTTTGGAAGATTACGTTTAAAGTCGGAAGAGGTTCAAGTGCAATATTAACCATTGCCTCCTCTCTGCATCCGCCATTTTCTCCAATAGGAAGAAATGAAATTTTTGTTGAAAAACCCAGTTAACAGGTTAAACACCGATCTTTTATCCTTCGAACGTTTCCACTATAGACACCTTCGTGTTCTACACGAAATTTTCGATTTACTGTGCACGTTGCCGTTTTGTATACAATCATGTTCGAATTCCTCGGATTACACTTGAAAATCACGCGTCGTTCGATTGCTTTTGGTTCCACTTTCGTCGAAGCTTCGTTTTTCTTTCTTTTTCACCGATTTAACGATTTCACGATACACATACCCTTAAAAGAGCGGAATATATACAAAGAAAGAAGAAGATAAAAAAACACGTGGCTGTAAATATTTTATATAAGAAAGAAAGATGACGATGAAATATATATAATGAAAGAGAGAGATCTATCTATTGTAGAGATACGCGTGGAATTAAACGAAAACAAAAAAGAGGCTTTTATTTTTGTCTATAAAAAAAATGAAGTAAAAAAATACAAGGCGAAGAACGAATAATAGAGGGACGAGAGAACGACAAATGATATTGGGTGGCGAACTTCGATGAAATATCCTGACTTTTTTAGCCGATTCTAGGGGAAAGAGCATATTTATAGGGTTATTTACCGATCGAGTATTAAACTGGCACCTGTGTCTTCTGCGAAACGCGAATTTCCAATCTATCGTCGTGAAATCGAATTAACGCTCCGTCAGAAAAAATAGAAAACGTTATTCTGATTAAAGAAAAAGCGAAACGAGCCTCGTTTGGTGTATTCGAAATAGCAATGCATACCGAAGTCTTCTGGTAAAAATCGAAAACACAGAAAATTCTTCTTTTTCTCGTCGCGGACAAACATGAAATAGTTTATCGTAAAATATTACAGCGGTGTCTCGCTATATGGCCCTCAGCGACTCAACAAGATCGTAAAACGGCGCATATAAGTGGAATCTTCTACACCGTTTAATTAATAAAATCTAAGTTTAAATTTATAAATTTCAATTCGGAAGCTCGAAAACGATATCAGCCTCGGAAGAGCGGTCCATATAGCGAGATGACGCTGTATTAAAAAGGAAAAAGAGCAGAGCAAAGAGAAATCGTAATCATGAAAGAAAAAGGGTATATTTAAAACGGCTTAGAGCATTCGTTTAACGTGTAAAAGTAAGACAGAGGGTTGTACAAAAAAAAAAACGTGTGTATCGTAATGTTATTTCATTGGAAGTGAGAATTTAGAGTTAGACTGTTGATACACGGTATATTATTTTGGCTAAGCGTATATGTATAGAGAAGATTTTAAAGAAAAAAAAATGAAAAAAAAGAAGGGAGGGATAAGAAAAACATAATACGAGAACGTGTACGTGTAGGTAAAGCTAGGGTGAGGTCGTTAATTGTTGAGATAAGAAGTAGCGCATAGCAGCTCGGGGATTTAACGAACAGAAAGGGTTACGACGAGGATGACGATGAAGAAATTAAAAAGAAAAGAAAAAAAAAACAAAAAGAAAACACTATTAAGTACCTTGTTGAGTATAAGTAGATTAATGATCGCTAAGTCGCGAAGAAATAAAAATATATATATATATATATAGTGCCCACTTTCGAGGTGTGCACGTGTGCACACTCATGTTCATGAATCATTCGACTCTTCATTCTGTACACACACGCGTGCGCATACGCAATACACAAATTTTCATTCGAAACGTAAATACGCATCTCTAAAGAAACGTGCGTTATATGACACTTGTGTAACGCGAATTGTTGCATGCCTATACACGCAAAGAAATGACACGATACCAACAAAAAATAAATAATAATAATAATAAAATATAGACGTTTAGAGGGTTGTTTCGAACACGAAACGCAGTGCCGCGCGTTTGTGCTTCACCTTCGATTCAAAAGGATCGCGTCCGAATGATACCCGCACGAGGTTATGTTTAGACGAGACAAATAGCGTTATTATTATTATTATTATCATCTTCCACAAATATATTTCGAGTTTCGAATAGCAGCTGGCTGCGAGAGAAAAGGTACCAATAGAGAGGATTCGTTCGTCACTGATCACGATGGAACCACGATTCAAGTATTGTACCTTACATTCCTTTGGCTATAAAAAAGAATAAATAAGCGAAGAGGCACGACGACCGTGTGATAGAAGGATTTAAAAAAAAAAAAACGAACAGAAACGAAAGGGAAAGGAAATAGGGAAAAATGCTCCCTTCTATTCAATTGTGTGCCACTTAAAGTTAACGAAACGAAGAAAAAGATAATAGAGAATTTATTTGTTCGCGACTCGCGTTTAACGTCGGTCGATCCTTCGTTTTCTTTTCTTCCGTTGATCGTTTCCTTCCTTCTCGTTTGTTCGTTTTTTTCGTCAGGATATATATACATATATACATTGAGAAACGGTGCATCAAGAACAGTAAGCGAAATTGTATTTTTTAAAATATATATATATCTATATGTGTATATATATGTATTCCGAGGTTTCACCTCCCGAGAAGAAGGGTATTGCGATTCAGCTTCGAACGTACACAAGGAATTTTAGATTTAATTGATACTATTGTTGTGCGCTAAGTTTGACGCCCGGGGAATAGATCATATTCTTTCAAGACAAACATATGTGTGTGTATATATATAAATAAATACATACGTGTGTGTGTATATATATATATGTGCACATATACAACCTATAGACGAGTAAAACTCTCTTTCAGCGAATAAGAAACAAAAATAAAAAACTATATAGGGTTGTTAATAATTAAGAATCTGAAGCCATGTATAGTCCTGTCAAGCGAAATCGGAGTTCTCAAATGCGCATGCGCGGCCAGAAATCGAGGGTATAAATATTGGGTCTTTCCCCGTCATTTTTTATTCTCTCTTCGAACCCCGCGCTGTAAGATGCGTTTGTTCGTTTCAAATGAACTACATTTGCCAGATTGACGTTCTATAATTTTCAGTTGTATCTGCGACAATCTTTGTCCTCGCCATTTAATTCCACACCACATCACAAGGATTCGCTTTTGATCTTCGTCCTTGCTTGGCAAGACTATACGATACTGAAAGGGATGCACGTCGTTCTTTCATCGAAAGAATAAACCGAAAAAAGGAAAATTGTCGCGTGTCAGGGCAGAGGAAAAAATACTATTGAAACGCTCGTTCGTCCCTTTATGTTTTCACGACTTCCTTCGGCAAACGAACGATAATTAGATTGTATCAAGTGCTCGAAAAGCTGCGTGAACTTTTTCTAGGAATGATTCTCGATCGTCGTCAATAATACAGCGGAGTCTCGATATATGGTGTTAAATAGGACTGTAAGAGCGGCAAGAAAAATTTTAGAACGTCATCCGTCTTTGCCATATAACGAGACTACGCTGCATACAGTTTCTAACCCGTGAAAAGTGTACCTTTACAGAAAAATTAAACAATTGTTGATTGAATCGACAGAGAACAAAAGTTGAGTACTCCGTCGATCGCGAATGAGACTTCTAACCTGTACATCGTATCTGATCACTGTCTTCGAAAGTGAGAAAATAAGGGGGGTATATGTAATTGTATTCGATCAGGCGAATCGTTCGACGCGAAATTCCCGAACAAAACGAATCACAAATATTAGTGGGATCTAAGTGTGATACTCGAGATGGTACAGATCAGTAAAGCGCGACGATAAGCGAGCATGCATCACAAACGGCTTGTGCAAGCCTGCTAAACACACACATACATACATACACACACCCATAAACACATAAAAAGAAGTCTCTGTTAATCGAGAACGCGATACGACGAAACGATACGTTCTTTTCTTCTTTTTTTATTCGATAATTTTGCTGGTTAAAATGTTGGTTGGGTTTATATGCCCACAATCGTGACCTGTTGGACACCGCTACATTGTTATCGATGAAGTATATATTATATATATACGTACACACGATTAGTTCACAGCATTTTTGAATTTTACTCTAAATAATTACTTTACACGCTCTAACCACATTTATTTGCATCCATGAATTGTTATTCTTTCATCATCAGAGAGTTATTCCATTCAATGTTAAATAATTATAAATAATTAAACATAATATATTAACTATTTTCACTCATGAGAAAGCATCGTTACCTGTATGACAAGTGACCATAAGAGCATAATAAACAATCGCTCATTAAATGCATTCTGTTGTTCTTCATTTCATGACCTGGCCACCGAGCGTCCATCCATCTGCTCCATCGATCCATCCATTTTGTCCATTCAGTTGTCGCTGTATGATCGTCATACGCATTCTTCTTTCTTTCTCTCATTTCGTCAACTTTCTCTGAGTTTCACGGAATTCTTTTTCTTCTTTTTTTCTTAACCCCTTGCCTTCTGACATCAAATCACGTTCATAGTGTACATCGGTAGTCTCCTAGCGCAGTGATGGCCAACACCACTTATAGATACTGAATTTCTCAATTTCGACGTTTCCAAACTCCCGCAATCTCCACTTTTCAAGTTCCCGATTTACCTGATTCAACGTTTCGACTTGTCCATCACTGTACTAGCGGTACAAATTAACCTTTAAGTAGAGTCTGGTCGGTCGTGACCCAGACCTCTGAAACATTGGGAAAGTAACGTTTACATGAATAGAAATTAAACAGAATTTAATATCGAACACCCGGTTTAACCGTCCAAGGGCTAAATACACTGTTGTAAATGCATGAACATTCGCGATCTAGCGATAACTAGAATTTGTAAGGCAAGGGGTTGTAAACGGATGTGCACCATGAAAACTGCGAATTCTCGTGACAAAAGAAATCGAAAGATCTTTTATCCGTTTGCAAAATGAAACTCTGCTTCCAAGGTGCAGTTAATCAGCTGTTCGTCAGTCGCCATCTTGGAGGCAGATCGCGAAGACATTTCGATTTGCTTTTTTCTTGGAGAATCTTAAGTATTCGTGGTGTACGTTTTCAGATAGCCTGTATAAGTCTCCATCGTGCATGGAGCACCTATATTCTCTTTTTCTTCCTCTTTTCACTTTCTATCCAGATAATATCCAATTGATCCTGAACAACTTTGTAATTTTGTCGAAATTGGAAAGGTTAAACTCTCTTAAAGAGATTAATCCAACCTTTCGAATTTTGATAGAAAGACTCGCGCGACACGATAAAGTACCCTGACATGACGATAGCATGTGTACCTGTAAAATACCTCGATCGATGATGTTGTATATAGAACTTAGGTCGTTCCATTAGTTTGTAAGTTTTAACGTATAATATATATGTGCGAGAAGACAAGTAAAAGGAAAGGAGAAAAATGTGTTTGTATGCTATATAAAAGTGACGAGGATCCTCTCGTTTATCTCGTCTGATGAAATCGTGCATTAAACGTTTCGAAGCACCGTCGATAAAAGAAAAGGAGCGTAGAGGTACATCGGTTCAATTAATATAATTTAATGTTACTCGTTCCATTGTACTCGTTCTCGTGTCTTTTTTTTTCTTGTACCTCGCGTTCGGAATTTCATATCTCTCCGATGTACAGGGTGTTCCAAGAAAAGGGTTCACGGTATTTCAACTGATTTTTAAAATCGTTTAGACTTCCTAACATTCCCTATGCTCCCTCCAGGCTCTTAGATTTACCCTACGATATTTCTACCCGTTCCTTATTCGCCTTGACAAGGGGTTGTATAAAAAATTTAACACGTTGAACGCAGTACAGCCTACAGCAGTTAACGTGTTAAAATATGTTATTTAAAGCGATACTATTTATTTTAGAAGTTTCGAACCCTTTTCTGATTCGACACTCTTTACACGGTAACAGGACCGAATGGTTCCCCAATGCATTTCGTCAGCGTACAAAAATTCGACGTACAAAAGGTGCTATTCTAACTAGTCAGTATAGATAAGGGAATGTATTTTTTTACACGATGGATTTGTAATAAAGATATTGAAAATGAAAGAGTATCTAGTTGAAACGAACGAAACAAGGACGCTTGTCGTTAGAAAGGGGAAAAGGATTATCGATGAACGATGTCACGATTCCTTCTGTTCCGACCAGAAGTATGAACAATTTTCTTTCGCATCTTGTTTTAAAATTTGCGTGTCGCTTGGAATATTCCACACCGGAAGAATTCAGTCTGTATGAAACCTCTTTTACCGGGTAAGTTGCATTTTATATCATAGTTTGTCAAACTGCGAGTATTTTTGTTCCATTGTTCTCATTGTTTCATCGTGCAGCGTTAAATTACTAACCACAGAATCATAAACCAACGAGAACAATCCTGTCGATGGAAATGTACTGTTACTACTGCGGTCCGTGCACGTTCGATGTATTTTTCCAAGCGAGAGTGAAGTGACAAGTGCGCATGCGCTGACAGAGTAGCGGGAGATACAAACCGTGGACTAGTTCCCGCCATTTCTCGATCTTTTTCACCTTCTACGAGACGCAATTTCGTTTCGGAGTAGTACAATTAGCACATTTTCGATTCTCTTGCAGGTAGAAATTTTTCGGTCTTCACTCTTGCTCGGTAGAACTGTACTCATAATTCTCGATTGCTTCGCACCCATTAGCGCAACTAGGTAAGAACTCTCAGAAAATTCTCACGCGAGGAATGTAGGACATAATTAAATTTTTGAAATGTTTTAAAGTCAGTCCTAGTTACGCTGATGTTCGCAGCTATAAATTAAACGCGTATACACTATGACACAGAATTTATTATTCCTCATAAGCAGTGAACGTACATAATTCATTTTTTCACTTACAAAATATCTATGCGTATCATATCGGTTTATCCCCCCTTAAGTTTCTTGTATTCTTATTTTATACATAGTCGCATTTGCCCCTTCTATAAGTTTCTCACGCATCCTTTTACAAATGGTACGCAGCTCTACCTACCTAAAGTCTATTTAGGACCGCCGGTGGAAATAAAAGTTCTAACGTTCGATTAACTCGTTATCGCCCTTAATCTCGTTCAGCTATACAGTAATTAATTCTCTATGTTGCGTGTATCACGTGTGCTTCCGTCGTTTAAACACGTTCCTCGTCCACGATGTTTATTTCAGAGGCACAACTTTTTCTCGATCAAGCGTGGAAGACTAAAAAGCGAAACGAGAGTGTAATGAATATATTATAACCACAGCTTTCTATAATTAAGCAATAACATATATGTTTTCTCTTTGCACCTGTTCTCGATACATGGTTTACGGAACGTGTCACAAACGAGTATAATTGTTTCGCGTACAGTCTATCGCACACGTGTTCGCGAACAAGCTATCACGGCGAAAAAGCAGCGTACGTTAAAAGTAGTTATCGGTTTCTCGTTTTGCAATGTGTCGTTTAAAAACTGTCGTAAAATAAATAAAATGAAAAAAGTTTTCACCAAAAATATTATTCTCTTGCTATCGACATTCAATTGTACGAGTAACAAATATAATTAAAATCTCTACTGATGAAAAACAGATTCTGTTGTGCGATTACTGCTCGAAGGGTATCACTTGTTTGCATTCATTCCTTCTTCTTATTATAAAACCTTATGCTGTATGCGTTAAAACATGCAATTCGAAAACAGCCTTATCAAAGATTCAAATGATTCAGGCTGACTTCTCTGCACGCAGTCGTAAAACGTGTTTGTAGAAAAATTATATACATTATTATCTAGTCACTCGCTTACATAATGCACACGCGTTTAAATATCAAATGTATATCACTGTTCTTCTTCTTCGTAATATAAATTATAACAAGTTCTAGCGCGAAGAAACGTGCAAACAAATACCCCTCCATTACCGTGTCGTACAATATTTTTAAACGTAATAATTTGTAACGAAAGATACGAGAAATGATCTTTAAAAGTCCATGATCGTACGAGTTTCATTACGAATCAAGATTAGTCTTTATCTTTATTGAAGAACGAAGGCAAGAAGGAAGCCGGCAATAAGGAACGATGCTGATAGATACAAAGTTATTAACATTGTTCGATACACAAGTTCAGTATTATCTTTGACGTCTTGTACCCTTTGTCATATTAATAAACGTATCATTTTTATGTATAAAACTACAAAATATATATATATATAATATATATATAGAAGTTATACAATATAGGCAGTACAATAAAAAATGTATCTCTATGTAAGATTACGTCTTGCAAAAAATACATTGTAGTTTTTGAGTGTGCTCAATATCGAATCGCAGAAATATTCGGAGAATTTTCTACGACCCACTCTTGAAAAGTATCGTTAAAGACAAATTATTTTAAGACGTTACCAAGTACAAACTTTAACAATATTTCTTTCGCTATCGTTTATAGTTTTCCGTATGTTTGTGGAATGTTTATGAAGGAATTGATCAGTATTACTTAACGTACGCGTCACGAGCTTTTGGGTTACATATCAAAATCGAACACATCTTATAGCTATCGTTCGACACACGAAAAATATAAGAAAATTGGAAGTACGCAATTGCATTTAATATTTGTATATTCAACTTGTGGAGACAGGGAGAAATGAAACGTAATCAAAAATGAAAGCTTTCGAAAAAGAAAAATTTGATTTGTACTTTTCATTCCTCGATATTACGAAGTTTGAGCAGACTGCATTCCCTTATTACACGTTTCCTTTTTCTTCTATTTAGTCAGTGTATATATGAGTATGTGCGCTTGCGATGTTAGATCTGCTACTTTATACCCGGTAAAGAATTTCAAGTTATATTTAATATTATTTAATAGCAACACTTCTTCTTAATCTATGTAAGCTAAAAGTAATCGAAAAATTATATTATGTATTGTAAGTGTATAAAAAGTAAACTTTTGATTTCAGACAACAGAACCTATTTATAATAGGTCAATACACTTTACAAAGTAATATTGTAAGTACTGCACGAAGACGAATTCTTTCTTTCTTTTCTTTCCTTTTTTTTTTGTCAATTTTGATTCTGTGTATATAAAACCAATGAAAAAACATAACAAAATTAAAAACAGGCCAACATTCCTATCCTTTGAATAAGTACAGAAATGGAACAGTGTTCTGTCTCCTCCTGACAAAAGTGACACAGCACGTAATTCATTTTTATATATAACTGAAAATTATTATAGAGTTCAATACTCTACACTGTTTACCATTTCAGTACTTACACGCAGTTCATAAGTGATAAAAGGTGTATTACAAACTCGTGCTAAAAACAGGAAGATATACTATTCAGAAAAATGATTAAACCATCTGCGATATCCGATAATTATTTCGGTCAATTTATCAACGCATGATCGTTAAAAAATAAAGTATATCTTGGAAAATTCATATACATGTTATTATCGGTATAACATAATTATGTTACTAATTTTAATGGAAGTAAGGTTGCACCACCTTTTGTCACTATAGAACCACAAAATTGGACCACCTCCTTTCCTCCTTCTAATAGATTAGAAGAGGAAAAGGGTGGTCTGCCTTGCTTGCTACTTGGTTGCCTCTGGAGGACAATCAGGCTGATTATTTGGATGAGCAGCAGTGAATGCAGGATGATTTTCTAAATGACGATCTACCCTCAAAATGGTTGGGAAAGGTCTTAAATCAACTAGAAACCTCCTTGCATTAAATATTTGTGGTATTAAGCAGCAGTCTGCTAACGTAATTTCATCCCCTACACAATATTTTCCTGCACTGGATGACAATAATTTTTCTACGGCTGTAAAAAAATTATAATTTTCATTACTTTTAAGTTAAGTTATAACTAAGATAACAATGTTAATTTTATTATGATTATACCTGTTAAACCTCTAGTAATCCAATGTTGAGCCCATTCCTTCTTGCGTTCTTCTCCAACATAGATCAGCACAACTAAGTTTTGCAAGGGTTGAATACCACTAGCAATCACCTCACAAATTTCTCTGACTCTAGCTCTTTTTACTGGATCTGCAGGCATCAAGGGTCGATGTGGTCTAGTTTCTTCCAAATATTGCAGAATATTTAGCTACAACCAAGATATTTCCATGAATTTTTAATTAACCCATACTTTTCAGAATAATGTACTCATTTGTTTATAAACTCACAGATTCTATTAATGTGTGATTGTCGATATGAAGTGCAGGCACCTGCTCCATCGGATTAATTTCACGAAATTCATTGGAATGCTGTTCTCCACCACCTTTTATCAAGCTAACTGGTTTTATGTCATATGGAATTTCCTTCAAATTCAATGCTGTTAAAAAATTACAATGTAAGAAATAAATGAGATATTACCGAAAAAGTCACACACACATAAGCGTACAAAAACATTCATTCGATAATTAAAATATCTTTAACTCACCAATTCGCACCCTCCACGAGCAAGAACTCCGCCAATAGGAGTAAAGTACTGGCTAAGAATGAAAAAAAAGAACGGGGTAAGTACCGGAGAAAAATTTCGCGATGTTTACCGGCTTCAAGCGGCACGTTAGCAAAGCTATATATTGGTTTGCGCGAGACCGGTCAAATAAAAGCAAAATTTTATTTGAGAAGTGTAAAACAACGATGACAAAAGACCATAAATAAGAACACCTTTGTCGAAAAAATTCTTTGCGGACTAACGCGAATCTTAATCGAACATTAATACAAACGATCTTATCGTGAATAAAGGAATAGCAATAAAAGCAACATTTCTGCAGCGATGTCGGCTTCGATATATCACGTTGATAACTCTCTTACCTTTCCCATGACGGACATCTCGTCTCAGGCTTCGATGGACGGATTCGCCTGCTTGACTATCAGCCCGATTAATCGAGACGACGCTGCGATTCGCGAATCTCTTCGAAAATTATTCGGTGTCCGTTCAACGCGCGAAATCACTCCTCCCTCCTCTCTTATTCGATTGCCAGACGTCCCATTCTACTGCCCCATTCTAGTCTGGGGTTCGTACAACCAATCACCATCCACTTTCCGATAGGAAGCAGTGCTGTACGACACAAAAAACCTTGAAGGTTGGATAGAGATCGTAAAATTTTATAAATTTATTCGGCAACTTGCTCTTTCATCTAGCGTTCTTGATAAACAGTATTTCATCGACTTCGTTTCAAGTTTATCGTTGTATATCAATTTACGACTTGATTACCGGTTTTCAGCATTTCATTGGAAATGTAAAGTAGGATTAACGAAGATTAATGCAAAGACCTTGCTTGAGGAGGTCAAATATCAAGCTATATTTTTGAATCTTGCTTCGTTACTCTTTGTTATTAAATTTATTATTTAAACTTTGTAATTTATTTTTTAACATTTTTTTTTAAATGTCATAACATTCGACGATTACTGTCATCGCTTCCTATTGCCCCCGATCTGAATCCACCATTGGCGATTAATAGTATTCGTACAGACGCGTATACACACATTCAGAATCGCTTCATGAACTGCGATTACATCAAGGATACATGCATCATTCTATAATAATTAAACATTATAATTTTGTTTACGTTACAGGCTGCCTGTTACGTATTAACGCTTAAAAATGTAAAATCTAAACTATCCAAATAGAAGTAAACTTTATAACGAGTAAGACACAAATGTTTCATTCATTTCATCATTATTCTTCATAAATAATGTCGAAATAGTTTTTATCAATAAATAAATGTCAAGATTTGTACGGAAAAGTGAGATATGTATTGATACGAATGTGCATTTTAATTGGATATAAAAAAACGTTACGTTATTAACATTGAAATTTATATCAAATTCTTTTTATACAATGTTAACTTTGATTATCATTAAAAAAGTTTAAATATCATATTGCATTATTTGTATAGTCCTCATGTGTGACCAATGATAATGTAACTAATTTTTGATGCGTTAACCAATGACTATGTGACATCTTTAATGGCGACCTAGCAACATCGTCGTCCTGAAATACGAATAAATTTATCGTACAAAACATTTTGTTACGAAATCGCTTATTTAGTGTTACAGATTTAATTATTTTTTGTTTGTTCGCAAGTACTGTTTCGCAAAAAAGAGTTCAACTATAGCAAATGATTGAGGTTGTGTTATGTCGAGTAATTTTGCATAAATTTATATATAGTGGTGATTATATGTTTAAACACAAAAGATGTTTAAACACATATTAAATTACTTTAAACCAAAAAATGCGGAGCACGCTGCTGTAATTAAATTTCGTCTTTCTGTAGCGTATGCAATTTTAGGGTGGAATGCCTTTATACTCATGTTCTACAGAGTGATAAATCGTGACTTACCGACAGATCCAGATGAACGAAGTATTCAATACAATGATCTACTACATGCTTTTCAATTATATCAGTTATTAATTTAATTTGTAATTTTTCAGGAAATGTAATGATAAGTAAGTTAAGCCCCGTTAAAGATATAAAAATAATGCGTGTTGATGGATTAACTGTAGTAGAGGAACGTAGTATAAGTGCAGCTGAACTTCAAGAAGAAGTACGTTCAAAACAGTCTACACAAGAGTGATGTAAATATAATTTGTGGTGGTAATTGAGCATACAAAGTGTATATTAATTTATAGAAGACTAATAAAATAATTTTTTTCAAATTTTGGAAGGTTTATGTTATTCACAGATAATAAAATATATGTACCCATTTTTTCATTCACAATACAGAAATTATTTTTATCGCAGGAAATATAAGTATTTACTTAACTAAGTTTTAAGGGAGAGATTGACGTAAGGCAATTGCTCCTGAAGTTTCTGGATTTAATTCTTTTAGTCTTTGTTCCATCTCGCATAACAAAGCAGACCTAGTAAAAATATTATAATATATATTAATCTGATAAAACAGCATCTCATTAGAAAATTATATTTTCGATATACCTATATTCTTCGTAACGCATAACTACTTCCTCCAGTTCTTGTTTGTATAGTCTAGTTAGCATAGCATTGAAACAGTCAAGTTCTGGTAAACGAAAAAGTTCCCATCGCAACTTACGATCTAATGCTACTGATGCTCTACTATATACATATAACCAATGAGGTATTTCTTCATTAAGATAAGGATTAGCTGGAACTAAAACGCTGTGCGAGTGAAAATGTGTATGACGCGGGGGCGAGACAACCCGCACTGCTTGTATTTCATGGGGGTAACATGGATGCTCATATTGCGCTTGTCGTGTAATATGGCTAAAAATAGTATAATATTTTATAAGTCATATATACTTTAAGTTTTCATTATACTTACTTGACATAATAAACACCGTATTCAGGTGATTCTATTCTTTCCCAACCTGTAGGCAGGCCTTCTTTTTCAAGAGGATGAGACCAATGAGTGGTTTTTGTATTGTGATCTATATAATATTTTCTACCTCTAAGAGTAAAATCTACAGACCATCCTGGTGGTAGAGGAAGCTCTTCTTGTTGTTCATTCCTAGAGCTTGACCTTTCTGAATGGCATCGGCTATATCTTGAACATATAAGAATAAAAAAATGTGTGCTTGTAGTAATTCTAGAAATATAAATTATAATGATATACCCTGTACTTTGATGATACACTGAATGATTATAGTCTTCATAACCTGAGTCAATATCCAAAGGTTTATAAGGCATCTGAGGTGTTTGAACTCTATCTAAATGATATTCAGATCCGGCATACTGATTAACATAAGTGTGAGATATAGCAGGTGAGAGTCCAGTATGATACATTGGAGTTGCAGTACGAGATGGCATTCCATCTCTTGTACTAGTATTAACAGAAAGACTGGCAAATCTGAATGAATGTGTTTCAGTTTATGTCATTGAATTTAAAAACATTTCATTTCTAATTAAGTTAAATAAATACCTCTGAGCTAAATCTGGAACAGAACTATTAGGTGTGTATTTTCCCTCGTGACTTCCTAATCCTACCGCACTCATTGTTGTTTTAGTGTTTCCAAACTTTTGTACCATACTGGGTTGTTGTGGAATAGACTACATAAAAATTAATTTTTATTTGTCTACAGAAATTTGATACACACAATTACTATTTACCATTGATGTTGGGATGGTTGGGTGATTGTTACGGTTTCTTGTTCTTCTGTTTGGCTCTGTTGTCCACACATTAATGACTAAACATAAGCAACATTTTATTATCAAAACATTTTTACTATTTAAAATAATAAAATAACATTTGATATATGATTTATCGCACAATAAATGATAAATAATTCTAAATATTAAGTGTAAAAGAAAGTATTAAAAGCTTGCTTTTAATCAATTTTTTTCTACTAAATAATTAGAATAGTAACAATAAAAACTTACTTGGCATTTCAGGCGGAGTCTCTTTTTTAACATATTTTCCAACAACTCCTTCTTTAATTGTTCTTAAATCTTTATTCTTTCTTGACAACATGATGATAATAAATATTTGATCGAATGTCAAATCGATAAATCTTCGATACTTATAACCTATAGAATACGGCACTACATGCGGAATATTAATGTAAATGCATTTCAAGCGTATGATTTTATGTTTAAAAATGAAAATTGGAGTATCTTTTTCTTACATATTCACACAACTTTATTTCGTCAATGTATGAAATTTCTGAAATTTTTCAAATTATACACTGCACTTGACATATGTATCTTTGCCTTTGATTGTATACAGATATTGATAAAGGGTGAGTAGACAGACGATCGATGCATTTTGTCAACAATTTAAAATATTGAGCTTTTTGTCGTTTTTGTAATCTTTTTAAAACAGAGAAAAATAAATACTTATTATTTTGAGACAAATCATACCTAAACACATATCTGTCAATGAATTGTCAATTTGACGTACTATTCACGAATTGCTATTGCTTTTTTGAAACTAAATTATGTTATGTTATAATGAAATTTGGTAAATTGCTAAATGAAGATTGATTCGTATTTACATTTATCTTATTATTCTTTAATTTTTTATTCGGTGCACTATCAACAAAAATCATAGATTTTTCTTTTAGTTAATATACATATATTTTTTATAATAGTAATTTTCATAACCTACCTTAAGACAGCAATAGTTGATACGCTATGAAACAAAATATGTTAGTCTATATATGCATATTTCATTTCCATTACACATAGTACCTATAGAAATGACACCAATAAATTATACATCTACTTATGAAAAAGTTTTGGTATCAATAGGAAGTTGATAAATAACTGTAATTAAATTCAATCTAGTCTGTTAAAAGATAATTAATTCAAAGTGAAACAAGAATAATTTCTTCTTTTAAAATAATTGAATACTTTCTAAATTTTTTAATACAGATTATAATACATATTATCTGTCTTTTGAAATCTTGTACTAACTCTTTATTTATTTCAAATAAAAAAAGAATAAAGATATTCAGTTGCAGCAGAATATCTTATTCATGTCAACAAACTTTGAAAAGTATATAAATAATTACTAATCTCGTTGAATTACTGCACTTAAATTTATTATACGAATAGCTAACCATTCTTATGTTTAATATGACAAGGATAAATTAATCAACTTTCATTTATGTTACTCTTTTTACATTCTAAAATCAACTGTACAGCTGTTATGTTCCTAACAATGATTAATATGAGTATCTGAAGTATATATATCTATTAAATATATATTTACAATGAAAATTATATTCGCTATAACTTCGGACTACTCGTATATATCTGAGGTTGTTCAATTGTAATCTGCATGAGAAAAAGAAAACTAATATAAACACTAATGATTGCATTTTAACGATAAATACGTACGATAGACTATCACAGTGTAGCTCGCGTTTGTATCCGTAGGATCTCTCTATTGTTCTAATCTTTTGATTATATTTTCATTTTGCCGCAAAGAATGGAAGTACTTGTTTGCAGGTATTTCGTATCCGATTCTGTTAATAATTATGCTGTCATACAAATGCAGTTTATACGATATAAAAAAATACTAATGTATCGTATCAGAATTTCTTATTGTAATATATTTGCAACTGTACTAAAAACTAAGTTAGCCCCAAACACAATAATTATTAAAATGCTTTATTAGTGTCAACACAGGAGGACGATGTTTGCGAATTTGAACAGGAAGCAGAAAAAAAACGTAGGCCACGACAAATTTTCTTTAGCAACCTACAATACACTTTACGGGCATTTGACTAAATAGTGTTTAAAAAAGAATTAGAGAGTAGAAATAAATTAGACATTCATTTAATAAAGTGTCTATTTATGCGTATAGAACTCTTATGAATTTATCCGTGTTGGTTTCCTCGAGTCACATTACAGCATTTACAATAATTACATATACGTATATATATATAGACACATATATTTATACATATTTATATATATATATGTATATATTTCAATTTATTTTTTTTTAACTAATTTTCATGAAGTGGAGATAAACAGTGTACAAGTGTAAATAAAAATGTACAATGCAGATGAGATAAAACATATTTGACGCAAGAAGAATGGATAAGTAAAATTAAGATAAATATGTTAAACGTTTCTCAGCTACTTCATGAAAATATGAGCAAGCAGTCCACTCATTTGTTAACCATCTATTTATTAAGAGCTACTATTGTTTATTATTTATTATGCAATGGTAAGAAACTTTAAAAACGATCCCACGTCTTTGCGGTGGCCTGTGGGAGCACAGCTCCGAATAAATCTTATGCATTGTATCTCTATTATTTATTATATTTATAAGCAATGGATATTTTGGTACAATTAAATTTTTTTTATTGTATACTTGCCCCTCGCATCGTTTTTTTTTTTATTTATTTTCTTTTTTATTTAAAAAACAACATATATTTTTTTACGTTTTTGTTTCAATGAATTAAACCTTAATCATTCAATAATAATATTATTATTCTTGTGATATGCTTATCGCATATCGGTCACGGTTCTCTTTCTTTGAAAAAATTTATTCCATTTTTGCTGCGGGCATGCAGTCAGCACAATGTTAGTATTCGTAGCACATCGGTCTGTACGTTACACGTATTTACCACAGTTTTCATGTATTCGTGTGTTTGTGTGAATGTGTGACTTGTATCATCAATATTACTATTATAATATATTGTATTATATATATTTATATATATTTATATATTTACCTAATTTTATTATGTTTTGTTATAGTTATTATTATTAATACGAATATATGATACATTTCAAACAACGCCCCTTGCTGGCTCCGTCGGAGGCGAGAATCCGGGAGTAAGGTGGGTCAGTCATGAGAGGACATTAGCCATTTAATAACTGAAGCGAATGTCACATGCAAAAATCAATATTATAACAATATATTGTATCTACTCGAATTTACACCTTGATCGTCTCCTCCTACCGAGCACAGCTTGAATCCTTAGTTAAGAGGGGACTAACATTCTCGTATTGTGTGCTGACACTGAGTACATTGTACAACTTAAATCATTGCTGTCAAAGAAAAAGGAAAAAGTAGGGTAAAGTAGAAATTAATGTACACAATAAAAATATTAGAACTCATCAATCATCATTGCGCCAAAGAAGAATAAAATTGCGATCACTGCTCCTTTCATTGTTCTTCTCTCGCTTTGCCCACTTTAGGCTCAACTAATGAAAGAAATTACATTACGTCAAGAATACCGTCGTGAAACACTTGTTTGCTCCACTAACAACAGTAACTTTTTTTGCGTGTAGTGTTTGGACAATCGACGTAAACTAAGGGCTAATGATTGGGCAGCGTGGTAATGTACTTCCACCTGAAAACAAAATTATACTATTCGATTAGTCAAAAGTAACAGAACTGTTTAAGGGGTTAAACCATTCCGAACTGCCCAAAGATTATATCTTTGCATCTCGGCTACTTACTTCGATACATTTTCAGAATTCATAAAAATACCTATGATCTTCGAGCGATCAGGGTACAGTTTAACCCCTTAAATTGTAAGAACAAATCAATTATCGGAAATAATTACACACCAGTTCAAGGGCGGGCTCGTGTCGAAGCTGTTGTGGCAGGAACTGGATTATTGGGGGGAGGAGGAGCTGTAAGCGCATTACGTCGTTCTACCTCCAATTCAGACAGTCTCTTCCACAGTTCATCCCTTTCCTTTTCTCTCTTCTTTTCTCTGATATTATAAAATATTTCTATAGATAACGTAAAAACTATCGACACGCTTTTATTTCATTTTGTCTTGAAAAAGAAATAACCTTTTTAACCTTACTTAATTTTCTGTGTGTTTCGAACCCATTACTTACTTTTGCCTTTCAGACTTATAGCTGGCAGTAAGTTCATCAAAAAGCTTGCTATTCATTTCCATAAATGTTTTTAAAACGTTATAAACAAGTGCGACAATCGTCTGATTCCAGTGTTCCTTGCTAATTCTATACAATGCCGGGAACATAATTCCCATTATTACATGATTGTTATCTTCGACTAGAGACATTACATATTCATTATTCCAAAAGAACAATGCTCTTTCAGCAACCTGTAATTAAATATGATTTTATCATTATACAGTCAAAATACTTTTTTCCATGAGCAACGAAGTTGAATTGATATTTTAAATACCTGAAAGTGCGGCGAAGACACAGAACGTGCAATTTGCCTGAATAAAGGTTCTTGTATTTTAACAAATTGGCTAGGTTCTATTACGTCCAAGATTTCTTCAATTTCACCAAGGAACATTACCTCCTTCTGGCTACACGTTTTAGGCCAGAATTTAAGGAGGCCTCGTATAACTGGTTCTGTTAAGCTTGGATCTTTTTCAAGAAACTGCACCACGCAATAAGCTAATTGTGCATGATATAATGATAAGCTTTTCACCTTATGTAGTGGTAGCAGCACCTGTAAAACAATTAATGACGAATCATGTTTTTCATACGCGTTTATCGACTCGTAATTTCGACAAACTATTTTTACCTTAACTAAAAACTGCTTGTGCTCGACTTTTAAAGGAAGAGCAAATCCATTTATAATGCTACCCAGAATTTCAAGAAGTTCACCCACTCCATTGAAATGCTCGGTTTCATATACAAACCTGTAATAATAATTAATTAAGTAAAATTATGTTGCATATACGCATATAGATTAATACTAATCACATGTATATAAATACCTCAAAAAAATGTTGTTGATTTGTTTACGTATGAAGGCTCTAAGGCCAAGGAACTTCCCATAAATACGATGCAGAACAGTTTTCAAAAAATCTCTTTCCCTAGGATCCTCTGAATCAAATAACTCCAATAACTGAAACAAAAAATTCATACAACAAAGTAAATAATAATAACAAACATTACATTGAAACACAATAATACATATTGTAAACTATACCTGTAAAACAAACTTTTGGTCAATAACTTTTTTGCCAATTGTTGGCTGAAAATCTGAAGATTCAAGAAACCGTAAAAAGAATTCATAAACCAATTGCAGATGGGGCCAGCTGGCTTCTAATGTTGGATCATCCTCTTCTGGATCAAAATCTGGATTTTCACTAGGCGGTAATGTGCGAAACAGATTTGCAGAAATCTTTAACAAATACATTGTTAAATGAAGAAAGTTCTTTCAGTAAATTGTAGGAGCAGGTATTACTTCCATAATATATTTTTACCATTTTAATAATTTCAGGATATACAGGCTCTGTAAGAACCCCTCGTCCAGCTGTGATGTACTCCACCAATTCATTGAGTGTACTACGTTTAATTTCTTTGCCTTTAAGATCTGCCATAGGATCCATAAAATCAAAGGTCACGCAACATTGTCGTAGCTTTCTGATAAATAGATCTTCTTGTTCCGATGGTGTGACATCTGTAACAAATAACAAACTTTGTTTCATTTCAAGGTGTATTGTCAAGACTGTTAAATATTTTTAATATATAACCACATTAGTTTGCTACAAACTATGGACTTAAAATAAAAGGACAAATGTTCATTATTGTCATTAAAAATGACTAATTTTTGTTATGGCAAAATCTACGAATTTAATAACTTTATAATTGTAGCAAAGTAAAGTTTGCTGTAAATACATAGTCTGACCATTAATAGCGTCGTTCGTAATACTAATCACTCGTTGTGCCACCTACGAGATGCGTCAATCCCAATATAGTAGGATTAACAGTCTGTGAAGTTATTTTCGGTTTGCTTATGGACTGTGTAACATCTTTAGAATTGACTTCGAACGGTTCGACTACATATATGTTTAAGCTCCAAAATGTAAGTTTAAGCTCCATTGCTATATCGTAAAAATAAGTTATGAAACTTCGACTCGTGCAAACTACAAATTTGTTAATTAAGGAAGGGAGAATGATGGGTAAATGGACAAAACTGATAACAGTGATATTCGTTCAATATATTTCTTCAATTTATAAAAATATGATACGAATGTATTTTACACTGCTGGTAAAATATACCAAAGATTACGTCAGACGAGGTTATGGTTATGAATTCATAGGACACGCGCGGACCATATGGTATACATGAATAATTGCCCATTAGCAGCACTTTGAACAGGTTGCATAAATTCGTGTGACACTGTTTTCTTTAGCGTCATAAAATAGGAAATGTTAATTTCATGAGTCGATTCGATGGGAAACTAACGACGTGGTATCTCGTAAACTGTTTCCTTATGAATGCCAGTGATTCGTGCGGAGTGTTGGAGACACACGGTATGTTGGATTCGGAACCCTCCGGTCATTAACGAATTAAAAAGCATAGAACGCTGTAGGGTAAAAATGGGATGTTAACGTCGAAATTATCAACATATGAGGAATTAAAAATTTCGGCGGCTAAAAGAAACTATTTCGAACATTCGAAGTAGGCCAAGTGACATTCGTAAGAGGTTGCAAAAGTCATCTGTTGAAGCGACATCTTACGGCCATGCTTTCCTTCAGAATTTAAACGAGAAAATAGCTGCCGCAGTATAAATTACTCAGGTTTATTAGCGTGTTTACTCCTGGGGGTTGATCGTTCTCGCGAATGAAGTTTTCATTCACGCTGCAGGAAAAGGAGGACAGAAGGCAGAACAAACTCCATTTTGTCCTTTTCTTTAATACGTCCGTCTCATTCTTCAGTTTCCATTTCTACCCGATGGCGTATTGATTCAGCTACATAATGAACTTTAAACCATGCTTTCCTGTCGATTCTCTCATTCATCTTAAGCTCCCGGTAGAAGTAATACTTTTTCTATTTTTATCGTGAAAGGCGAAGTTGTACAAAAGTAGCACCTAAAAACTTTTGCCGTTGATCAAATTAGAAACTGATAATCAGAAATTGACGACGGTATACTTTCAGTCACGCATAAAACGGTTCTCGCAGCATTTGAATCGCGGATCGCGCTATCGAGAGTAAGATAATTAACGTAGAAGGCCGTGACGTTAAACCAATGTCGCCATTTGCTCGTTAAAGCGAACTTCCGCGATGATGATACTCGATACTCCGTTTATTACAACGCGAATCCGTGATTCTTAAAAAATAGATGAAAAACAACCACGCCTACGTGTAACGATCGATCAAGTACCGATAAATTTATTCGAATGAAAGAATTACATCGAAAGGAAATCGAGGGGAAAAAATTGGCTGGCTATCTTGCTGCAGATCTTCCTATATTTAGGGTGTCTTACCGTGAAAGCTGCGTACGATAGTTTCGTTAAGAATTGATCAATGTATTGACGCTAACAAACCAACCATAAAATGCGCCATCGAGCATAAAAGGAGCTCGTGTTCCACTGATTTTACCGTTCAACGATCTTCTACGTAAGATATTCGTTTTGAAGACGCGAGGTAATTTTTACGTGGTATTTTGTGAATTCTGAGGACAACTGTGAAAGAAGGGAAGAATTTTGGTAGTTTAGGAATTTGAGTACCTAACAATTTCTACATTTTGGAACTTATAGAGCAAGGTCTTACGGATCTCAGAATTCGGAGAAGTATTTGTAAAAGTTTCTATAAAGGGAAGCCTACGTTGCGCTCGGGTATACACCCAGAAGCAATGAAAGAATTCTCTCGCCAGTGAGTTTAATCGCGAATCGAGAAACAACTGAGCGACGAGAACTCTGTTTCGAGTTTTTATTCGCGGTTACTCTCTTCGACTACGGCCCTATACGTATGACAGATGTACGTAATTACAGAAGGCGGTGCTCGAAAGATCTGCGATGGATGAATGAAATTTCGAGGCACCGATTTTGCTCGCAGTCACGACCGTTAGAATGCCGTGATCGGTAAAAATAGTCGATAGGTGGCTCTCGAGCGGTACACTATCCGCGAACCTCGTTCGTTCGAATATTAACCCAATCATGATTTCCGATAGCAAAATCGTATTTGACGTTTCGCATCGGATTCCGTCGAAATTGTGCCCGGTGATGTATGGGTGTAATTAAAGTACTCGAAAGCACGGATTCATGGCGTCTAATACCAAAGGAATATGTACCGTTTTTATTCGTATTCTGTGCATAAAAATATCGTGTATATTATCCATAGGAAACTAGCGAAAAGAATTTGTTGATAAAAAAGATAGGAATCCGATATAACGTGGGAGATTGAGAAAATTTCCGTGCGAATTCACGGTCAAAGACGAAATATACGAATGACGTTCTGGCGACGCAACGATCTAAATAAAGATAGAACATAACGAGTCAATCGGTTCGATCCAAGCGAATATTCCAGTCGAAAGTGGAGTATACCGCGCGGCGAACACGGATATACGCGGGAAACGTTCAGTGTGCCAGAAGCCGCGCGCCAATGTGCCGCTAACGATCAATTATGATCTACTTATTGCGAACGCGTAACGTTATATATACAGTACGAGTGAAATCGCTAGCCGAATATTCCAGTTATGCGACCTTGTAACGCGTGCGTTCCAACGAACGTTGCCCAATGTTTTTAGCGCGGTTGAAAAAATTCGCAAGAAAGATGGTGCGTCTAATTGTGAACGCAAAAGTAGCCGTAACCGAAAGTAGCGATTCGATCGTACGTATTCGTTCGGACTGATAAACTTTAAAAATACACCTAGGTCTGGTCGACCACATCTTTCGCGTGTGCACGCTCACCGAATCTTTTTTCGCCCCGTTCTCTGCTACTTTCATGGTCGATAGAGATTTCAGTCTCGACGTTCGGATGCTAAAAAACGAGCGCGAGACACGGCCAGAGAAGGGTAAAAAAATCTCTCAACGGGCAGAGTCTCTGTTGGGTTTATTTTCAGGTCAGTCAACGAGTCACGAGAGCAATAATCGTTGTTTTCTTTATGCGATCGAACAACCTCGATAATTTCGTATATTTCCATTCGCGCAGGTCCGATTTATTTCCTGCGCCGATTCATTCATCTGCATTGTTTCGAGGTAATTAACGAACATTTTGTTGCTATGTACAGTCGGGTACAATGTTCTTGCAACTCAGCATCGAAATTAAGAAAGCTACTTTAAATTGTCACCTTAAAATATCCAGGTGATAAGTGGTTTTGTAAAAATAGTAATTAACGACCGTATAACGTATCGATGGGTATCTAACAATTTGTTCTAAAATTCAGGAGGAAATTGACATCAGGTGTTTCCGAGTGTGAACTGGGTGAATGTTCGTCGAATTTCGATCGCGACTAATTGGACTCGCTTTATCGATGCGTATAATAATCACCCTGAGAGAAGGGCCGTGTTCCCAAGTAACTTTGCTTTCCATGACGCTGGAGCATGGCCTCAATGAATTTATCGAATTATGCGAATGCTTCTAGACCTAGCTCTTACGGCGTGTTTCCACGCGAATTGTGAATGGATGAAGAAAGTTAGCTCCTCATCTTACGGAGTAGATAACACTCAACCGATAAAAAAATCTTCGAACGTAACATCTACACAAGACGCATTTCAATTTTATATTTTAACGGAAGGTTACGTAGCTTAAAACTTATAAGCACAAGGGTACAAATAAGGCTAAGTATCTTTGTTATCGGACTGCGGATGTTTATGCATTTAGGGTACATCGAGGTTTGCCAAGTATAAATAATCTATGAGGTCTATACATCATTTATTTCGTACACATATATAAGATCGAGCACACAGACCCTTCGTAGTTCGCTCGCAGAAAAGGCTTACTGTTACAACAGTGTCTTGAGTCCCTATTTTCTGAGCCTGTAGTCGGCCAGCACGTGTCTAGAAGCGGAAGAAGAGGAAGAAATCGGTTTGTCGGGAACGAACGTCATTTTCAAATGACGACATTCAGCACACGAATTGACATCGTGCCCGGAATGAGAGTGTTTGTTACACATCCAAAACATAATTAGAATTTCGTCAGCGCCGCGTTGACTACGGCACGCAGGATAGCATGTCGGAAGCGCGATTTTATTATCTGTTATTAGCGGATCAAATTTGTATCGTGCGAGCCCAGGCGATCCTATCTAATCTATAATCGAATATTCTTCGAACCCGACCCGTATATGTAATCCTATCGGCCACAATATTGTCCCTTTAAGTATCAGCGACAAATTATATGTTCATTTTTATTCGACTTTAAAGTAACATGTGACGTTTCGCGATACTTTTATGCGTTTAAGTTGCTCGTTATTTGCTGTAACCAATATCAAGTCACTTTGTATATTTTCAAATTGATCATCGGTCACAAAACTTGTACGATTTTGTACTCGTTATCTTGCACGATTCGAAGGTAGACTTTCGAAAAGTCGATCGACTGATTAAGGAGAGCTATAGTTGCACCTTCCCTTTGCTCCGTTTCGATTAATTTCGATTTTCGTTCTTTGATCGATCAACTGCATCAAATCACTCGGATAATATTGCAGAAGTCAATAAAGGGGTGGCTGCCGATCATCG